TGCAGCTTGGGGAGAGACACCTGTAACAGAGCCAGGAAGAAAAGGGACACCTCCCTAGCACGGTAGACCCATCAAATCAATTCTGGCAACCAGTGGGCTGAGAGACGTCACAGACAGCTTGCTCTCAACTTACTTAGTGAATCAAAATATATGGTGGGCTATAATATAAATAAAATGAGTGGCAATAATTCAGAGGTTTAATTGAGCCTCTATGAGTGAATAGATCTAATTTTCTATAAATGTATAGTACTTTTTATCATGTGAAACACAGGAAGAAAGTTAACTGTCACACTTCCAAAGCACCTTTGCATTGGAATTTTACAGTCCATGTATAACTAATCGAGTTTTTCTAATCTGAGGAAAGCCAAAAGCAAAGGACAAAATGGGGAACCTCTCAAGTATTCATGACCATTTCTTTTGATATGTAGTCTCTTTGACTACATTATGGACAGTTATGCAAGATGAGCTATAGATTATCTAAATTACTTTTCACCTGAGACTTTGATGCTAATATTGGGTTTACAAGTTTGTTTCCATACACCAGACATCTAAGCATGACTCTATAGTATTTATCATGCATACAAAACCAGTGATTACCGATTGTGTGGTCTTGGATGAGTAACTTAACTTTCTCTTTAATTGTCCTCATTTGGGAAAACACGTAACCTCCCTTTCTAAATAAGAATTAGTAATGAGGCATGTAAAGTGTCTATCAAAATTTCTGACACACAAGAGCTGCTCAGTAGAGCACAGTAGGCACTTTAGAATGACAGGGATACCGGCCTGGGCTCCAGAGCCAGGCTGTGTGGATTTGCATCTTGGCTCTACTGTTTCTGTAGCTGTGTGACCTTGGACAAGTAATTTTACCTCTCTGGATCTCAGTTTCCTTATCATCTCAGCGGCAGATGATAGCAGTGCCTACATCATAGGTTTACTGGGTAGAAAAAAAAATGAGTTAACACATCTAAAGAGCTTTTGAACATTTATTAATACATAAAACTTAATAAAGGTTAGTCATTATTTTAATTGCTGTTCCTTTTAGCTTTTAAAGTCACCTGCATCTTTTTCAAGTTGTATATTAAAACCAGAGAGAGGCATCCTTCTGTCAGTATGAAACACGTCCATCAGTGTTGTCACACCAGCTGTTTTCAGCAGATTTCCACTGTGGTGGCTCTGTAACCAGTTCTCCTATGATAGGTCCTCACAGCCCTTGGTAGGAATTATTTTTTTTATGTTCACTTTGCCTACTTTGCCATTATTAGCAATTCTTCATTCTTAACTCCCCTCTCTAAGTATTTGTGAATTCCTTAAAGAACACATTGGGGAAGTAGTATTTGGAGCAGATCAGGAAAACATTGTGAAATTTGAACTCCTTCTTGTCACCCCACTGTCATTTCAATACAAAAATAATTGAAAGGCGTTGCGGCTTTCTGCAAACGAAGTGCTGGGAACCCAATTTCAGTCTCATTAAATCTCTTCTTTATTGGCCATTTGGCTAATGCTCTTCCCCTGCAGTGAAAATGTCAACAGGCCACACGAAGGGGTGAAGGAAGGATCTCCATGTCCAAGGAGTACAAACAAGGAGCTTGACACAGACCTAATGAACTAACTCACTAATTATACCAAGAATCCAACTGTGATAACACAGAAGGGGATTCCGACTAAGAGCTTAGGGAGAGTTTTTAAAAGAGGCAACACTGACAATACACCATGAAGAGTGACAGAGGAGAGGAAACACAACAGAAGCAGAGAGAACAAGAAAAGGCAGAGATGGGAAAATCCCTGGCTTAGTCAGTGAACAGCAGATGGTCCTGTGAAGTGGTGGTGGAAGGTATGTAGGCTGAAGGTCAGTGGATGAGGAACAAGGGCCTCTGGGTCCACGGGGAGTCCACTTGTCTAGATCTTCTCAGGTTCTGGGGAATGGGTTGGTGGGATTTCTCTGACAACCTCCTCAGGGTCAAATGCTTCATTTCCTCCTTCTCCCTTGTCTTCCCTCGACCTCAGCCCACACATCCTTTTTACCTCTGTATGTTAAAAGACCCATTCTCTTCTTTCTTCCAAAGGACTTTGCTGGTCTGGCATTTTCTAACCTGTCACCTATTATGAGATATATAGAAGGTGAAATGGCATAAGAGTTTGTACAAAACATTGGCCCCTCAGGGTAAAAATCTGAGCCTAACAATGTGGGAACAGGCTGCATAGCCTGGCTAGAGATGGGGCACGAGTGGGGAAATAGACAAGAGAGAACAATGAAGTGAGAAAAACATGCTTGGTACATAGTTGGTGCTTGATCAATACTTCTTCAAGAAGTAAACTGGGGGACAGCTTGGTGAACTCAAGTACTGTAAGGTGTCTCTGAGGTATGGCCGCCTGCCTCTGTGAAAAATCACTGCCTGTTTGGAAAACAGGAAGGACGGGGAGAAGTGACCTGTATATTCTGGCTCTCTGAGCATGTGCGACAAGTCCAGGCTTCTTTTGGAGTTGGCAGTTCTTCATCTGGTAGTTTTCTCTTTCAGGGATGAAAGGGGTGTGTGTGTGCATGTGCCATGTGTACCGTGACACACAATCACGAATGGCCCGATGTTTATTCTCTTCCAGTCATGCCAGGACTAAAAGATCTCAGGCTTCAAATTCATTCCTTTGCCAGAAGGTAAATTGGGGGTGTGAGGTGGATAACAAGAAAAAAAAAAGTTTAAAATGTCACAAGAGCACAGTTTTACTTGTAAACATATTCGCTTGACACAGGATAAAAAGACTTGGTTCTAATCACAAAGAGCTCTTAGTGTGGAGAGACACAAAACCAAGCAGAGTATTTAATGCAGGGGAGGTAGTGTTATAACAGAGGTTAGCCCAGGGAACTCAGAGGAGGGGCTTTAAATAGAGCTTAGGGCCCTGGCTGCTGTGGCTCTGTGGATTGAGCAACCACCCTGAACCAAAGGATTGCTGGTTTAATTCCCAGGCACGTGCCTGGGTTGTGGGCCAAGTCCCCATTAAGGGGTGCATGATAGGCAAACACACGCCGAGGTTTCTCTCCCTCTCTTTATCCCTCCCTTCCTCTCTGTCTAAAAATAAATACATAAAATCTTTAAAAAAATAAATAGAGCTTAGGGTCTTGCTACTCCAAGTGTGTTCTGGTCACCACCAGCAGCATCTCCTGGAAACTCGTGAGAAGTGCAGACTCTCTGGCTCAAACCCAGACTGAGTGTGAATGTGAATCTGAGTTTTAATGAGATTCCTGGCTGAATCATCTGCACAGTAATATTTGAGAAAAACTGGCCTGGGTGTCAGGGATGGGATCTGGAAGTATTTCTTAGTGGAAGTAAATCCTGAGTTCTGTTTTGAAGATGAGTACGGTTAACCACATAGTGTTCCAAACAGAGCGAACAACGTAAGCAAAAGTTCAGTGGCATGGAAAAATATAGGGGTGTTTTGGGAACAGGAAGTGGCTTAAATTGCTGATCAAAAAGGAAAGTATGGGAGAGAGGAGGAAGGAGAGATATAGAAAGATGGCAGGTTAGACAGTGGCCATCCAGGTTAAGGAGATTTGCCTCCACTTAATCTGTGACAGAGACACATGAGAACATGTTCAGATTTGCATTTAGATCACTGCAGCCCTGAGGAGCCTGAGAACGTCAAGGTCAAAGGACAGAGGAATTAATTAGACAGCTACAGCAATAGTTCTGGAGAGAAATGAGAGTCTAACTCAAATAATGGAAGCGGGGATGGAGAGGAGTGGGCAAGTTTAAGAAATTTTATTAGGTGATAAGTAGATGAAAGACTTCAGATATGGATTGAGTGTGGGAGAGTCTTGGAGGGCTGAGCCCTGACTGCGGGAGTTGCAGGCTTCTGGCTGGGATTACTGGGTGGCTGCCCAAGAAGCCACAGATGGAGAGGAAAGCACAAAGGCAGATGAGCAGGTTTGAGGAGGGAGATTATGAGCTCAGTTTTCAGCATGTTCTGCTTACGTGAATACAAAACAAGTGTAACAGAAAAAGAGAACAAGAAAAGGGTGGAAAACTCAGTCAATCAGGGTGCAGAAGGAAAGCGATGAAGAAATAATATTCTGCCCATATTTGGGGCGACAGTAAAGCGCTTGGTAGTAGAACACTACATGGTAGTTTTCTCTGTGTTTTTCCTATAGTCTTGTTTCCAGAGGCTGCCTTCTGGGAACTTGGTTCCAGCAACTGTTTGGACATTGAAGATCAAATGGTTTGACTCATGGTTTCTTATCTTGTGAGCAATTCAGTGCTCTCTGCGAGGGGACAAAACAAAAACAAAAACAATTCACCTGGAATTCAAGCTACTCACTGTCAGAATGACTGAACAGCTGTGTTTTTCCATATTACCCCACCGGTGAGTAACTTTGCCCACTGCCCCTAACACTGCTTCTAAAGTGGCAATAATACAATGCCAGTATTTGTGTGTGTTAGCACGTGGTTGTCTTTCAAGTTCTGGATGACTACAGCCAAAAATCTTCCCTGTGAACTTTTACCTTTTTATTTTGAACCTTAAAATTCAGAACTTTGTAATAGCCTGTCTCCAATACTTTCCATAATTATGTCCTATTTACAACCTGTTCTTTGCATACAAAGTTCTCCAAAATAAGTCTCGGACTTCTGTGTCTTCACGGCAGAAACTCCAAGTAATTTAACATTTTCTGATCAGCCAATAAAAAGCAAAAGGTCGGCACGTGGTTTATCAGTTTGGGCAGGAGGAAGGTATTCCAACCAGATCCTTTCGTTTTTGCCAGGATCAAACATGGCGGGCCGCAGTCTTACCTTCCTGAACACCTAGCTCTCTTTCCCGCGACCCCCAGTCAGCTTCGGCGTTCGTGTTTTTTACCTACATTCCTCCTTGCGGCTCGAAGAGGGTCAGCACCTGGGAGCTTGACAGCGGACCTGCTTCCCGCCCCCACTTGAAGTCCCTCCCACTAGTCTACGTTAACCAATCGTTAGGCCGCACTACGGCGACTGGCAGCGCCGGCCGGCCCCACCCCCCAACCTCGCTGTGGCCTGAGGCTCCCGGGCCGGTAGCGTCGCTTTCGGTCGCGCGGACTGGTCGTGTGGAAACGCGGGTCTCCGACGCTCGCTGCCGGCCGCCACTCAGCCTAGTGCCGCCGAGGCTGTCGGCCCGGAGCCCCCGCCATGGACTTCGAGGACGGTAAGCGCCGCCCCTGGCTGGTGGCCGCGGTGGGCAGGAGGCGGGTGGCCTGCGCTGGGGGTCTGTTTACCGTCTCAAGATGGCCGTGTGGGCTTTGTTCTGCGGGCCCGAAGGCCGCCCGCCCGCCCGCTAGGCGCGGGCCCAGTGCCCGGACTCGGCCTCCGTGGGCGCCGGCGCCCCGATCCCACCCGCGCCCCCGGCCTCCCGCCGCGTCCTGGGACCTGGGAGTTCCGGGCCGGCCTGGGCGGGGAAGGACGCGCCCAGAGCGCGGCGGCCGCGGCGCTCGGCCCGGGTGCGTGCGGATTGACCCGGCGCCTCCCAACTTCCCGGTGCCGGGCCGAGGGGCGAGCGGGGCCTGGGCTGCCTCGGCCTGCACCCCCAGCGCAGGGCAGCCACCCAGGTCGTCTGTTTGGTGAATCCTCAGCCCCGGGGAGGATTTTCAGAGGCTTCTCTACACGGCGATAGTTCCGGTTGTCTTAGTTTAAGATGAGTTTAAAGGGCGTCTCCGAGTGATAAGCGTAGGTAGATAATCTACATATTCCGATTGGAGAGTGAGATACTCACCCCCGGCCGAGACCTGGTCGTCCCTCTCTAGGAGAAATAGCTCCGAACCAAAGCATTTTTCTCTGGGTTGTGTAAGGAGGGGACTAAAGTTAGAATTCTGGCATCACATGCCCTTCAGATTCAGACCTGTCCACAGCCGCCTGCCTAGGACTTAAACTGCTTAAATGAACTGTATTTCAGCAGTACCTTTCAGCGGTCTCTCACACCAGTTCTCTGAACCATTTTCGCATGCTCACAGAGTAAAATAATTTGGTCTTCACCTTGTCTTTGAAACTTGCCCAACTTTGATAGGGTTGGTGTCAAGGTAAAATGAGTGTATGACAGCATTAGGGATTCGTGAAAGGGGGCTTGAATGATTAAGTTGGGTTTAATCCTGAGTAACCAGGCATTTCTAAATAAAACAGTTCACTAAGAACTGGTTGTTAGCCTGTAACCCAACCAAACCCCCCTCACAAGAACACTTTAACATTGAATGTGGTATGATCTCAGCATGTGAGTGTTAATAAATGAACTTTTGATCTTTGATTTCCTGCCACAAAGAGTTCTGCCAAGTCTAAGTGTATAAAATTGGACTGGTAGAACCCTTTTGTGGATACTTTTAAGTGACTTTGTAATACAAAGGTCAGCTATTAAGTAGCACAAGCTGGTGTTTTTGTTTTAGTTGCTCTTTGACTCATTTTGATATAGATACTTTTAAACTATGTATGAGTAGTTAAAGTGCCAGAGTTGGGAATTAAATTAAAAAAATGTATTATTGTGTTTTCACATCAGAGTTTGATGACTACCAACACCCAAGGTACGGAAGAAGATACTGAGGTGGGGGAGGGGTTGGGGAGCAATTAGAGTGGTCCCCTCCCATCTATGGGAATACATTTTCTGTAGAGAATTGAGAAACAATAAAACTGTATGTTTGCTTTTTATTATCACCTACAATTCTAAACAGTATAAATGGTAAAAACTCCCTCTTTCATGCCTTCTCTTCACCCCATCACTATATTTCACTATATTTTGGGGGATGGGTATTTGACTAGAAAATATGACTGAATCTAATCCTGTGTAGTGGCGCTGGATTCTGTCGTACCAAAAAGACCAATGTATTGGTCCTTTCTTTCAGTAGTTATTAGTAAAGTTAACTAGAGACTTTGAAATTTCTAAATTAGTTTTGACAGGAAAATTGCTAATATGGCTTTGGGTTATGTCACATCCTGGTTAGATACAGCACACACACTCATATACATATAGGCATATACATTTCTCAGACAAGATTCTGAAATCTTTAGAGAGTAAATTGTTAAAAGAAATATTAAGTTTGAAAAAATTATAAGTTGCATGCAATCAATTCTCAGATATAAATCTGCATTATTTAATACATAATTTAATGTATTTGCCCTCTGTTTTATAAGTCCATATAAATCAGTACTGGATCCTCTCTTTTGGCTGTTTTTATATATTAAGTGCTTTAAACTGATTTTTCCAATACCATAATTTGGATGATAAACCTGCCTCTTAGGGAGATAGTGAAGAGAAAGAGATACATGTTTTCCCATATGAAATATTTGTAATCATACTCCACTTTTGCAAATACTTGAGTCACTGACAGTTTTTTAAAAAATTGTATTTCTTTTAAATAAGTGGGTATGTAATTTCAGATTTTTGCTAATATTGCACTAATTCTTTTCTGTTAATGTGTCTTCATAGATTGTTATACACACTCTGCTTGCAGGAATACTTATCAGGGTTTTAATGGTGAGTATCCTTTTTCATGTGCTCTTAAATGTTAGGTGATACAGTTCAGTTTTTCTTTTCATACATATAAAATACCAAGTAAAATGCCATTTCTGCCTCGTTTCAAGTCGGTGTTTTTTTTCTTTTGATGTATCAGTCACTTCTTAGGATTAATGTTGTCATACTATATTTAGTATTTGAATTAGGGAATTTGGGATTAGAAAAAGTTAAGGCATTCATATTAGCTTGTCTGTTTGTTTTATTTGAATTGTGATTCCTTTAATTTATTCCAAATAGCCCTGACTTCTTCTGAGTGATGAGTTACAAGAAACTGGCTGACATTTTTGTTGAATTAGAGGCTTTGGTTTGAGTAATGTATATTAAATGGATTATTGGCTTGGTTCTATATTGCTTCTGGTGTCATATATTTTGACCTTGTTTTTGAGGTCATTTGCTTTAATGTGTTCAAATGTGTTAGTATTAAAAGAACTACCTACAGGAGCACATGAAAAAGCCTGATTATTTATTAACATAAACATGATGTTGGAGTTGTGACCACAGAGTTAGATAAAATCAGGAGAGGTATGCAGAATACAACTGGGTATCATTTTGATAGTTTACTAAAGTTAAGGCTCTTCCAGACAGGATAATTATGCAGGAAAGAACATGGAACACTAATCAAAGAGATTTTAAAAAACATTACATGAAGGACTCCAGGGAATGGAATTAAAATTCTGATTGTCAGAAATACAAAATTCAATTGCTGTACAGAATATAATATATTCATAAAGTAAAACGGAAGCAAATGTACTACTAAACAAAGGAGACTATATCATTTCATGGGAATAGTTACCATCCAGTTGATTTCTGCTTATCATCTCTCAGAATTTAGAGAAACTTTGGGTTTGATGTGGGCTAAAATCACTCACTATATAGGAAGTATTCAATATACAGGGTGGGCAAAGTAGGTTTACAGTTGTAAGTACATGAAGCACAGAGTTTATTCTTGTATTATTATTTATTAATTGTTGTATTACTTTCCATATGAACAACTCTAAACCTACTTTTGCCCCACCCTGGCTACTGAGTGCTGAAAAATACCTTACTGAGCAGGAGAGTGACCTAATAAAATTACCAAAGGAAGTTTAATTTTCATCCACATATAAGTTACATTGAAAATTAGAAAACTATTTCACAAATTTAGGTATAATTTTAAGACCCTGGACTTGGAGGTGAAAATAGTAATTTAAAAAATATTAAGACATTTCAGGAGAAAATTAGCAGAACTTGTAGGTTAACTGGTAGTGAGTAGAAAATAGAGAGGTATGAATAAAAATGAATCCAAGATTTTAAAGCGAAGTGAGTAGGACTAGTGATTTTACTTAAGAAAGTGATTTGGAAGGATAGAAGATCATGATCTCTAGTAGGAGTTAAAGAGTTGGATTTAATGTCTAAACACAGGACTTTGAAATGCAGGGCAAAAAAATTATTTTCTTAGTGTACAGTGTTACAAAAAGAGCTTCAGAAATTTCTGTCACTAATGTTAGTACTTTTATTTTTTCTTTTAATTTTAGCTCCAACAGTGGTTCTTAACTGAGGGTGATCCCCTTGAATCTAACTTATAGGGCAAGTGGTCCCCAGCTATGTATGTTATGAAAAAGTACTCCGAATGATTGCTAAATGCATCTCTGGTTAAAGACAAATGCTTGACAACACTTTGAAGTCTGGGTTATCTAGATTTTATAAATGAGGAACTTAATTTCAGGGATATAATTTTATTTCACTCAAATATTTTTTTTGAGTGACTGCTGTGTATCAGATATTATTCTAGGACCTGGCAATACAGTAGTGAACAAAATGGACAAATATTCCTGCCCTTTTGGAGCTTACAGTCTAGTTGGATTAAATGTATAGTAAACATAGTAAAGAAGTAACATATAAGATGGTAATTGCTAGGGAGAAAAATAATACAGGGAAGGATGATGATGATTGTGTGTGTGTGAGAGGAAGAATTTCAGAGTAGTTGGCAGAGAACTCACTGGGAAGGTGACATTTGAGCATAGATTTAAGGGAGGTGAAGATATAAGTCAAGAGGCTATCTAGAGGAAGAATGCTGTAGGCTTTAGGAAATAAAAGATAAATAGTTATCAAGTGAAGCTAACAGTACACTTCATCATTAGCATTGTATTTTCTATCCAGTGAAATGAAGACATTGGAAAACATGTCAAGAAACAGATTTTCTCTACACCATTTCTTGGAAGAAAGTTATATTTCCAATGTCTCCATGTTTTCTTTTTTCTTCATTAAAAAAGTATTTTTAAAGATTTTATTTATTTATTTTTAGAGAGAGGGGAAGGGACGGAGAGAGGGATAGAAACATCGATGTGTGAGAGATACATTGATTGGTTGTTTCTTGCACACCCCCAGAATGGGGGCCTGGCCCATAACCCAGACATGTGTCCTGACTGGGAATCTAACTGGCAGCCTCTCAAGTTTGCAGGCTGGCACTCAGTCTACTGAGCCACACCGGCCAGGGCTAAAAAATACATTTTATTGATTAAACTGTTACAGTTGTCCCGATTTTTCCCCCTTTGCCCTCTCTGCCCAGACCTCTGTTCCCTCCAGCAATCTCTTTAGTTTATTTCCATGGGTTGTGCACATAAGTTCTTTGGTTTCTCCACTTCCTATAATGTTCTTAACCTCCCCCTATTTTGTACCGGCCAATTATGCTGCTTATTCTCTGTACCTTTCCCCCCATTCTGCTCCATCCCTCCCCCCAGCTGATAACTCTCCAGATGATCTCCATATCTATGATTCTGTCTATTCTGGTTGTTTGCTTAGTTTGATTTTCTTTTTTTAGATTTAGTTGTTGATAGTTGTGAATTTGTTGCCATTTTAATGTTCATAGATTTGATCTTCTTTTTATTAAATAAGTCTCTTTAACATTTCATGTAATAATGGCTTGGTGATGATGAACTCCTATAGCTTTACCTTGTGTGGAAAACACTTTATCTGTTCTTCCAGTCTAAGAAACAGCTTTGCTGGATAGAGTAATCTAGGTTGTAGGTCCTTGCTTTTCATCACTGAATACTCCTTGCCAGTCCCTTCTTGCCTGCAAAGTATCTTTTGAGAAATCAGCTGACATTCTTATGGGCACTCTTTTATAGGTAACTTTCTTCTTTTATCGTGCAGCTTTTAAGATTCACTCTTTTTCTTTAACCTTTGGCATTTTAATTATGATGTGTCTTGGTGTCCTCTTTGGGTCCAACTTGTTTGGGACTCTCTGTGCTTCCAGACTCTGGACTTGCATATCTATTTCCTTCAAATTAGAGAAGTTTTCCTTCATTATTTTTTCAAATAAGTTTTCAATTTCTTGCTCTTTCTCTTCTGCCATCCCTATGATTTGGGTGTTGGTGTATTTGAAGATGTCTCAGGGCATCTTATACTACCCTTGTTTTTTTAATTCTTTTTTTCTTCTTGCTGTCCTGGTTGAATGTTTATTTCTTATGTTCCAAATCATTGATTTGAATCTTGGCTTCATCTCTTCCACTGTTGGTTCCCTGTAGATTTTTCTTCATTTTACTTGTAACCTTCATTTCCTCCTGTGTCTTTTTTATTTTGTTGCCATACTCAGTGATTTCTTTGAGTGTCCTGATCACCAGTGTTTTGAACTCTGCACCTGATAGGTTTGTTATCTCCATTTTGTTTAGATCTTTTTCTTGGGCCATAGTTCTGTTCTGTTTCTTAGTTCTGTTCTTTCCTTTGGGCCATATTTCTTTGTCTCCTCAATTTGGCAGCCTCCCTGTGTTTGTTTCTGTGTAGAGCTGCTTTGACTCCCTGTCTTGGTAGCATGGCCTGTTATAGAAAAGTCGCCTATAAACTGTGTGGGTGAAAACTTAAGTTTATTGCCAGGGTCAGGTAAACTGCTTCATAGCTTTGTGACTTTGTGTGGGAGGAGGGCTACGTGAGGGGTCTGTGCCTCTGCCTAGCTTCTGGAAGTTTCCTGGGCACTCACCCCATTTCCATCCATTTCGCACATTCCCTGTATGCAACTGAGACCCTTCCAGCTGTTGCCCTGGTGTTAAATCCCAGAGTGGGCTGGTTTGGCGAGCTCTTTAAGGGGAGTTTCCTGAAGACCTGTCAGTGTCTTATGCTGCCCCAACCCCCACTGGTTTTTATAGACAGAAGTTATGGAGATTTATTATTCCAGTGCTGGAACTCTGGGCCTGTGCATTCTAGCCTGGGGCTGGGATTGCTGGCTCCCAACGTGTCCCTCCTGTTTTTTATCCACCGCACGTGAATGTGAGACAGCCCTTCCCCATTTTGCTGCCACTGCCACCTTTCCCCACCACACTGTGTCTCCTTGCCTTTTTATCTGGCTCTGCTCCTCCTCCCCTTCTTCCTTGCTTCCCATCTTGATGAATGTGGCTTGCTTATTAATTAATTAATTAATTAATTACCCTCTGCACCCCGTGGCTTCTTTAAATCCTTGGTTGTCAGACGATTTTCTGACTGGTCTGGGTATTATTTTTTTTAAAAATATATTTATTTTTAGAGAGAGGTAAATGGGAGGAGAAAGAGAGGGAGAGAAATATCAGTGTGTGGTTGCCTCTTGTGCGTCCCCTAGTGGGGACCTGGCTCACAGCCCATGCATGTGCCTTGACTGGGAATTGAACAGGCGACCATTTGGTTCACAGCTGTGCTCAATCCACTGATCTGCACTGGCCAGGGCTCGGGTGTCACTTGTTTTGAGATTTAGTTGTAATTCCTTCTGTGGTGGCATGTGGCAGCAAAGAGAGTGTCTACCTATACACTTCCATCTTGACTGGAAGTACAAAATGTATTTAATGTTTTTAAAAATATAAATTAAGGTATTTGCTCTGTGTATACTATTACATTTATTAGTGCATAAAATTTGGGGAGCGTGATAATGAAGGATTTTAAAGGACTTTATAGGGAACACATTCTAAATGCTTTTTAAATTTTGTCATTTTTATAATCATAATAAATTCATTTTATTACCTTGTATTTATTTTTTATGTTAGATGCTAAAATAGAAGTAGGATTGCAGTATAATAAAATATTCTTAGTATTCTTATTGTATTTGACTTTTTTAGTATGTGCATTACTACAATTTACATTAATTCCCTTATTCAAAGAATTTGAGGATTTAAACATTTCTTAAGTAATTATTTACAGGCACAGTACCATAGATTGGCCCCAGTCTGTGATTTTAACTTTGTAAAAATAACTATTTCAATAACTATATAAAGTAATTGAAATTTGGCTAATTGAAAATGTGGTTGTTTCTGGGTTGTTAGACATTTAGAGAACAGATTGATGCAGAACACTATATTTGTAACAAAAATGTTCCTTTTTGACATTTTTAAATACTGGTTTTTCTTGAGAATAGTAACTTTTTATTATTAATATGTACTTTGTAGTATCTAATGCTGGCCTTAATGGTAGTATACTAGTCAAACAAATATTGGTTAAGTTGAAAATAATTCTAATATAGAACTTTTTAGTTGCTAATATCATTTTTCAAAACATTAGCAACTAAAAAGCAAATTTGAATTTTCAGTAAATTATCATCTTTATGTTTTTTTTCAATGTCTAGTATGACTTTAGCTTAACATTACAGATGAATTATTTGCTCAGATGATTAATATGAATATCTTGTGTTTTATGCAAAGTTTCCCAAATAGAATGGTATATTTTACCAACCTTTTATTATTGACTTTTTTAGGAATGGATCGTGATTATGGCCCTGGATCTTACGGAGGTCTGGCATTCAAGGATATTTATCTAAAAATTCTTCTTTTGAGTGCCAGTAAAGGTGAGCATCATTTAATTTTTTTCTTTTTAAACTTTTTATAGGGATGGATCGTGACTATGGCCATGGATCCTATGGGGGTCAAAGATCCATGGACTCCTACCTAAACCAGTCATATGGCATGGACAATCACAGTGGTGGTGGTGGGGGTAGCAGGTAAATTGCTTAATCACTTGGCCAAATAATTAGAAGACTATAAGATTCTGGATAGTTTAAGAATTATTTAGGCATGTTATGATACTTGAACTTCACTGTTTGGTATTGAATAAATCACCTTAAATGTTTAAAGGTGTTAACTAAGGGCTATAAAAATTATCTCAGAATCACTAGCAGATATTATTTCAGGAACTTCAGATATCTATTATCATTTTTATATAATAGTGTTAAGATTTTCTGTCTTTAGCAGTGAATATTTCTTTTACTTCTTTTAGTTTTAACTCCTGTCCATCATAATGTCCTGAACAAATGATATAAAAATGTTACTGGAAATATTATATATGAAGCTTTTTCTTAATGATTTCTGAAAAATCTTTCCTAATGTCAGGTGCTATGTTAGGCAGCAGGACACTCTTTGACTAGAATGGGTTTAACTGAACTAGCCTAGCCACATTTAGTTCTAAGAAACATTTAAGATAGCTGTTCTTTTCATTTTAATTTTAAATTAAGTAGTAAGAGCATATTATAATAATAAAAATGTTCTTTATATTGTGTCCAGGTTATTTATTGGCAGGTACTACTGACACCAAAAGCACTCGTGCTGTAGGCTAGGATCATTGTATTTAAGCCATGAATACTATACTTTTTGCTTAGCTTAATGCACTGGAGTTTAGAATGTATTTATATTTTGCTGTTGATACTGTGGAAAGCTTAAACCTAGTTGAACCACTACAGGCTTTAGGACTGACCATTTTTCAGGCAAAGGGGGTCTACTTTTTGAGACACAAAGATTCCTACTAAGTAACAATAAAACTGGTTAGGAAACATTTGAAACTATTGTCCTTCTTCATAAATTGAAGAATCTGGATTCCTTAGGGATGGACTAAATGATGCTTACTTTTCTTTCTGCTTTGAGTATGCCACTATGGTTTATAGTAGAGAAAAATCAAGAAAATGAACAGTGTGACAATTTTGCTTATATGAGAGATGTTTTGGAAAATGTAGTTGGAAACGATAATAATTTTTATGTGGTTACTAGGATTTGGAAGTAAATAGTACCTTTTATTTAGCAATCTTGTAAAATTGAAGTAATGTAAAATTTAAATGTTTTAATATATCAGTTATTGCCTTGTTACATTGTAAATGTAATATGTATAAATTATGTAGATGTTACTGTTTATCTCATGTGTAATTGTGGGCCTTTATAAAACTATGTTGTAAGGTATCAAGTATACTTTGGATTTGTGAGAAGCAAGATGATTTGTTTCTTCTGTTGACACTATTAAAACCTTGAGGAGACTGTGTGCTCCTTTTTTTAGAGTAGTTTTATGTGATAATTTCCTGCCAGGAAATAATTTTTCAGATAATGGAGGAGATAAAATGGATTCTTTCTCATCTGCTTTGAAAATTCATATGCAGAGGATATATGTTGGTGGTTCTTTACTTTTATGTTCTATTTTTATGTGCTTATCCTTCTAGATTTGTTAGATTTACTATTCTATAAGTGAAAAGCAACTGAGAATTGATTATTGACCGTAGCCAAAGTTTGGCAGGTTGTCAAATTTTATAACCAGAGATACTTTTCTAAATTTTGACTACTACAAAAACTATGAAGCAGTTTTGTGATATAGATTACTGAGGTTGCAAAAGGATCTCTCCTGTGTCACAAACAGCCTACATCTGTGTAGTCTTTAATTTGTGTCCCTATTGAAAGCCAAAATACTGTAAATATTTTTTGTTTTTTTTTTTTGTTTTTTTTGCAATATTGGGGATGGATTCAAAGAAAGTTTGAGTGGTTTTGTGAATTTCAGCAAATAACTTTTTCTAAGACTAGGGCTGGGCTTAAATAATTATAGACAAATCCTTTCTTTTTAATAAAATAGAAAAGCTGCTATAAAGCAGATTTTTAAGCTAACCTTTGCTTTACTCAATTCATATGCAAAAACTGACTCAGGTAGCTTTCTATCTGGTCTCATGTTGAATTGCCCAGCCCTAATCAAGTGTGAACAAAAGTAGAACTGTGCAAACCAGTATGGTGTAAATGAATTTTAGTTGATAAATGTCATCTGATGATTTGTCTTTTGAATTGTCTAACATTAGTAAGCTTACTTTTGTTTTTTCCCTCACTGTGCAACTTTTCCAGGTTTGGACCTTATGAGTCTTACGACTCCAGGTCTTCTCTGGGTGGGCGAGATCTGTACAGATCTGGCTATGGTTTTAATGAACCCGAACAAAGCCGCTTCGGAGGTAGTTATGGTGGTCGATTTGAGAGCTCCTACCGGAATAGCCTTGACTCTTTCGGAGGTAGAAACCAGGGCGGGTCTAGCTGGGAAGCACCTTACTCCCGTTCAAAATTGAGGCCTGGGTTTATGGAGGACAGAGGAAGAGAGAATTACTCTTCCTACAGCAGTTTTTCTTCACCCCATATGAAGCCTGCACCTGTAGGCTCTCGGGGGAGAGGAACGCCTGCTTATCCTGAAAGTACGTTTGGAAGCAGAAACTATGATGCTTTTGGAGGACCATCAACAGGCAGAGGCCGAGGCCGAGGAGTAAGTACAACAGAATCTTTCAGATTCTTTTCACTAGTCACTCTTTTAAACCCTTTCAAGACCATGGTTTTCAATTAGAATAAACACTGTTCATCCCAGTGTATTTTGAAGAAAAGCCGAGTCATAAGCATAATTTTTAGGTTGCCTGTAAGACTTTCTCCAGCACCTCAGAAAATAAGTTGCAGTGTGAGATGATTGTTCATAAGTTTTGCCAAATCTCCCTTTAATAAAAAGGTGAGGATGTTAGGTTTGGTCTAAAAGGGGTTAAAAGGAGTTGCATTTTACCTTGTGAACACTAGCAGTTTTGCTGGTGGGACAGTTCTTGGATTTTTGTAAAAGGTAACTGAACCCTTTTGGAGTTTTTGAGTAGGTTAAAGGTGCAATGTATGATAAAATGTTTACAGTTTGCTACTGCTCTAGCAGGTAGAATTTCTTCAAAGCTCCATATTTCACATTAAACACAAGAGAGTAAAAGTTGGTGACAGTTGAGGGTAGCTTAGCTTTGTTTACATGGTGAAGAAGTTGATATGTATAGTAGGTTGTAGAATGATTTGTGGTCAGTATAATTTTGCTAACTCACACTCTTACAATATGTCCTATTGCTGGGTGTTCTATTTTTCTTGTGTCATTAGTTTTACTATTGAGAAATAATTTCCTATGTGTACATGTTTATGGCTCCTTTCTAGGAAGTATTATTTTGTAAATTATTGTTTAAATGGGCAGATATAGTAGTCTTCAAGTGTTTGATTTTAGGATATACAGTGTTAAGATTATGCCTATGTTCTTAGGTAACTTGACTAACATGAAATTTTACCTAGTAAGTATATATAGATTATGGAGTTATGTAGTTTGGTCATATAAAGAATATTGTATTTTTGCTATAATGTAAGAAATGTTTTTTTCTGAGTCAGTTCCTCTTAATATATTTCTTTGCAGAAGAAAGTACTTTGATAAAAAGTGTAGTAGGGTACATGTTTTTGACTGTTCATTGGCTTTTGGTACATCAGTGTAGTATGTCAACCTTGTTTAGAAATTTTGCATTTATAACAGTTAACTCTTATGTAAAATGCATTGCACCTTTAATGCATAGTTAATGAAGATTTTTCTGATATGACTGTATACTATATACATTACCTGGAAACACTATTCAAGTCTACTAGGTTAGATAGGTATTGTAAGCCTAACATACATGTAAGCAACTGATTATGTTGCTATTTCACCATACTTTATGATTGTAGGTTAATCGAAAATAGTTGGGGTAAAATATGAAAGCACTTAACATTTTCCATGCTGTATATTACTTTATAGGCAAATGATTTTTTTCTTAATGAGACTTCAAATATCAATTTTGTTTTCAAAATAGAAAACCAGGTATTCCTGAACTTTGTATTCACCATTCTAGTCTGAATGGACTTTTCTTTCTTTTCTCCTGGTAAGGAAGTAGATGAACAAATAGGATTTTCTTTTTTAATCTTCACTTGTACAATTCCCATTGGATCCTTCTCTTCAGATTACTCCTCAGTCTTTATCTTCTAAAAGTAAGGTTAGCAGAACAAATTCCTATGGACATGTGGCCTCTTGGTGTAGTGGATTTTGTTATAGCTAATGATGAGAGAAGAGGAAGGAACACAGAGTCGTTGGTTGCATGACTCTTCATCTATAAACTTTTGCTTCTCAGGCTTCTGGGTCAGAATATGTTTCTCTAGGTAAGAATGTGAATGGAACGTCAGATGTAATTCTTTATCTGAAGTGTGTCTTGGAAGTTGATGCATGGTTATGCTTTAACTCTCCTATTTCATACTAATGTTCCATCTCGCCTTCTCATTCCCTTTTTCAACAGGGAGAAATCCTAAATGATTTCTGGATGTTTTTTACTTTAAACTTCAAATATGCTCTTTGTGTTTCTTAGTTTTAAGCCAGCATTTAGTACAATAAAGATTTCTTTTAAGGTCTTTTTATGGAAAAATCCCAATTAGGAACTCTGAAGAGGAGTTGTCAGAGAGTTGTACAAGTGGTAATATTTTGACAGGCACATATGTTGTTTATGATCTCAAGTAATTTTGAATTGTAAAAATAAAAAGTAGGTAGGAAATATCCATATTTCTTCTACTGGAAATCATTAATTCACTGGATTTGAGTTCATGTAATAATTTACAAAGTTTTTCACTGTTCAGAATGGACATGTAAAATTTAGTTACATTTTGGGGAATTTTCAGGTAAAAATTATTAGATAGATAACATGTAAATTTTATGTGAATTCATTCTTTATCTGTGGATATTATGCTAATAAATATTTCTTGATTTCACAAATTTGCAGCATATGAGTGATTTTGGAAGCATTCATAGACCTGGAATTGTTGTTGACTACCAAAACAAATCTGCCAGTGTGACAGTTGCTGCTACAAGAGGAATAAAAAGAAAAATGATGCAGCCATTTAATAAGACCAGTGGAACCTTTATCAAGAAACCCAAGCTAGCAAAACCCGTCGAGAAGATGAGCCTCAACAAATCACCTAGTAAGTAAGAAAACATAATTGAAGTTTTTCGTAGTTGTATAGACAAACTGCATACTACAGTTTGCAGTGGTACTGGCAATACAGTGGGACTGTGGTACTGGCACAAGGACAGACATTATAGATCAGTAGAATAGAATCAAGAGTCCAGAAATAAACTCAAACCTATGATCACTGGTTTTTAACAAGAATGCCAAAATTATTCAACAAATATTTCTGGGACAACTGGATAGGCATATGCAAAAGTTAAAATGCAGTACCTAAAAACTAAAACTATAAAACTCATAGAGGAAAATACAGGGGTAGATCTTTATGACTTCGGATTTCACAAGGAACTTTTAAATTGGACACCAGAAACATGAGTAACAAGGAAGAATGCATAGATTGGACTTTGTGAAAATTAAAAACCTTTTGTGCTACAAAGCACACCATTAGCCAACAGAGTGGGGAAAAGTGCTTGCAAATCATGTATTTGATTAGAGACTTGTAACCGGAATATGTAAGGAATTAATTTGTTTAGAAGATTTTATTTATTTATTTTTGGAGTAGAGGGGAAGGGAAGGAGATAAAAAAAGATGGAAACATTGATGAGAGAGAGAAACATGATCAGTTGTCTCCTATCTATAAATGCCCCGACTGGGCATTGAAGCTGCAAATTAGGCGTGTGCCCTGAGTGGGAATTGAACTGGTGACCTTATGTTTTACAAGATGATGCCCAGTTAATGAGCCATACTGGTCAGGGCAAAAAAAATAAGGAATTTTTACGCTAGTTGAAAAGTGAGCAAAGCATGTGAGCAGGCATGTTTTCCCCAAAAGAAATACAAATAGCCAATAAGCACATGAAAAAGTGTCCACTAATTAGTTATCAGGGAAATGTAAATCAAAACCATGATGAGATACCATGTTATACCCACCTGAATGGCTAGAATGAAAAAAAGATAACAACAAGCCTTTGTGAGGATGTGGGGAAATCAGAACACTCACACTGCTGGAGGGAGTGTAAAATGATGCAACTGCACTGGAAAACAGGTAGTTCCTCAAGTGGGTAAACAATCACCATATCATCTACTAATTCTACTCCTAGGTATATGTCCAAGATAAATGGAAACATGTCCATATAAAAACTTGTATACAAATGTTTATACCAGCGTTGTTCCCAGTAGCCAGAAGGTAGAAACAACCTTCATTCAGTGGATGAATGAAGAAACAAATGGGTTATGTCCATACAGTGGAGTATTTCTCAGTTATAAGATGGGCTGAAGTATTGGTTTAGGCTAAAACTAGGGTGAACTTTGGAAAGATTATGCTAAGAAAGCTAGTCACAGGACTCCTGGCCAAGAAAGAGGAATAGGTAGTCAGACACACTGTGCCTTTTTGCACCAAAATAAGTACAACAAATGTAAAAACAAAACAACGAGAACTGACAGAAAATTAAGTGTTTGGAAGTCCAACAACCAAGGAGTTAAAGAAGAAAAAAATTCATCTAGACCAGTAGGAGGGGCTGAGATAGGCAGCTGGGTGGAGAAGATGCACAGCAAGGCAGCAGCTGGCAGACCAGGCGGTCCCTCATTCCAGTGCAGATAAACTGGGAGGAACGACTGGGGAGTGAGAAAGACCACGCAACCCAGGGTTCCCGTACCGCCTCAAAGCCTCTGACCGAAAACACCTTAGGGGTTGAGGCAGCAGTGGGAGAAACTCCCAGCCTCACAGGAGAGTTCCATGGAGAGACCCACAGGGTCCTAGAATGTATATAAACCCACCCACACAGGAATCAGCACCAGAAGGGCTGAATTTGATTGTGAGTAGTGGGGGAAGTGACTGAAAACTGGCAGAGAGTAGAGCAAGCAGCACTATTCCCTCTCTGAACCCTCCCCCATGTACAGCGTCACAACACTGCGACTTGTGATGCCCCGCCTTGGTGAACACCTAAGGCTCTGCCCCTTACTATAAAACACATGCACCGAGGACCCCCCCCCCCCAAATGGCCCTAATGAAAGAACAGATCAAAGCTCCAGGAGAAAGACAACAACTAAGTAACAACTAAGCTCCAGGAGAAAGACAACTAAGCAACAAAGACATAGCCAGCCTATCAGATGCACAGTTCAAAACACTGGTAATCATATGCTCACAGAATTGGTTGAATATGGTCACAAATTTGAGGGAAAAATCAAGGCTATGAAAAGTGAAATAAAAGAAAATGGACAGGAAACCAACAGAAATGGGAAGGAAACTGTGACTCAAATCAACAGTTTAGAGCAGAAGGAAGAAAAGAACATTCAATCAGAACAGAATGAAGAAACAAGAATTCAAAAAAATGAGAGGCTTGGAACCTCTAGGACATCTTTAAGCATTCCAACATTTAAATCACAGAGGTGCCAGAAGAAGAGGAAGAGCAAGAAATTGAAAACTTACTTGAACAAATAATGAAGGAGAATGTCCCCAATCTGGCAAAGGAAATAGACTTTTAGGAAGTCCGGGAGCTCAGAGAGTCCCAAAGAAGTTGGACCCAAGGAAGCACACACCAAGGCACATCATAATTAACATTACCCCAAATTAAAGAGAATCTTTAAAAATATATATTTTATTTATTTTTTAGAGAGAGGGGAAGGGAAGGAGAAAGAGTGGGAGAGAAACATCAGTGTATGGTTGCCTCTCACGTATCCCCTACTGGGGACCTGGCCTGCAACCCAGGCATATGCCCTGACTGGGAATCAAACAGGCGACCCTTTGCTTCACAGGCCTGTGCTCAACTCACTGAGCTACACCAGCCAGGGCATAAAGAGAATCTTAAAAGCAGCAAGAGAAAAACAGGGTTACCTACAAAGGAGTTCCCATAAGACTCTTAGCTGATTTCTCAAAAGAGACCTTGCAGGCAAGAAGGGACTGGAAAGAAGTATTCCAAGTCATGAAAGGCAAGGGCCTACATCCAAGACTAAGCTATCCAGCACAGCTATCATTTAGAATGGAAGGGCAGATAGAGTGCTTCCTAGATAAGGTCAAGTTAAACGAGTTCATCATCACCAACCCCTTATTTTATGAAATGTTAAAGGGACTTTTTTTCCTCAGAAAAAGAATATTGAGCATTACAATGAATTGATTAGAATGTATTCTTTTGAGGTTGGAAGTGCCAAACTAGTGGTGCTAGCTCTCAAGTAATTATTAATAAAAGCAAGGAGAAGGGAAAGAAGCAAGGAGGCCTAGACAAGTTCTAGTTCAGAATCTCAATTTTATTGTATGTTTTTGGATATCAACAATATGCTGTTTTATTTTTGTAGTTTCATCTTCATTTAAATTGCTCAAGGATTAATGTATTCATTTTGATAAAAGTGGAATTGTAGTTACTGTTAATAACAGTAATCGAGTACTTAAATGCCTACTGCACACTAGACGCTGTGTTAAAAGGATATGATGTGCATTATTTATGTAATTCTCACACCATCCTGCTCAGGTATAGGTATGTGTATCAACTCTCCAAAGCTGAGAAAACAGGCACAGAGATCAGTAACTCGCTGCCAAGGTTAAGCAGTAAATGGCAAAGCCAGTATTTATTCTAGGACAAGTCTTGCTCTAGAAACCCTTCTCTTAAACCTATGTGTGATTGTAACAGAAAATTGCTTTGTATCATTTTGTCCTCTTTTGAAACAACTTTCCCTCCTTATTGTAACATTGTGGACAACTTAAAGTATCATATTTGAAAAAAAATAGAAATTACTAATGTTTGATTCTTTCCTCAAAACATATGGACTACAGCCTGTTTGTTGTAGCTCAGTGGATTGAACACAGGCCTGAGAACCAAAGGATCGCATTTCCATTCCCGGTCAGGCCTGGGTTGCAGGCCAGTTTCCAGCAGGGGGAGCACAAGAGGCAACCATACATTGATATTTCTCTCCCTCTCTCCTTCCCCTCCCCTCTAAAGATAAATAAATAAAATCTTAAAAATAAAACATATGGACTAGAACATGAAACTCAGGAAAGATTTAATAACTTTTTAAATTTACTTTTGTGCCATGCTTTGCAAATTGGTATCTATATTGTTTAGTAAAAAATAACTTCTGGAATTTTGGACACCTGATATTAAGTTAGTAGAATGTGCATTGTGGGGATATCTTTCATACTGTGTTAATTGACAGATTGTTACTTACCAAATCTTGCACTCTAGATATTACTAGAGGAGGCAATTCAGTTGATCCTCTTAGGGCAGTCTCTAGATATATTTTGCAGGTACAGTGAAGTAAATATTGCAAAGTTTGATATAGAAACTGAGTTGCCATTAAAGCAGATATATGTAGTCCAGGTTTTTTCCTTTAGCGATATTTGAGAATAGTGAGCAAAGTTAAGAATAAAGCGAAAATTCTGTAGTCAGTTCAGCCTTTCACTGTCAGGTGTAAGGTGGGGATTTTGAAAGGTATCTGTTGAATATTCAGGAATAAAAGACCTTGCAATATAGACTATATGATTTGTTGGAAAGCTGTAGGAAATAGCTTTAGTATATAAAAGGAAATTGTAGTTTGAGGTCATATACCTGTAGGTTTTCCATAGAGTGAGGGTTTTAGGGAAATTGAATGAGAATACTGAAAGTGGTTAATTAATATGAATGTACATTTGTCCTGACCAGTGTGGTTCAGTTGTTGGAGTGCATTCCTTACACTGAAAGTGTGGGGATTTGGGTTCTCATTCAGGTCACATACAGAGGTTGTGGGTTTGATTTCCAGCCAGGCTATGTATGAGAGGCAACCAATCAGTGTTTTTCTCTCACATTGGGTACTCTCTCTCCCTTCCTCTCTCTAAAATCAATGAACATATTTAAAAATTAGTTTAAAAAAGAATATACATTCAAACTCATAAAATGAATAATAACCTAGATACTGAATTTTAAAGTCTTGATTTTATATAATTTTGAAACATTGCATAGCAAGTGCTTTTTAAATATTTGCTTACTGTCAAGCTTGTGAATCCTGCGATATTCATGATTTTATATTAGGTATTTTTAAGAGATTTCATTTATTTATTTTTAAAGAGAGGGGATGGGAGGGAGAAAGGAAGAGAAACATCAGTGTGTGAGAGATACATCAGTTGCCTTTTGTGTGCTCCCAGCTGGGCACCTGGCCTGCAACCCAGGCATGTGCCCTGACTGGGAATCGAATGGGCGACTCTTTGGTTTTCAGGCTGGCAATCATACCAGCCAGGGTTGTTATTTTTTTAATCTTCACCTGAGGATACGTTTACTGATTTGAGAGAGAGAGAAGCATCTACGTGAGAGAGAAATATTAATTGGTTGTCCCTCATATGTACCCTGACTTGAGGTTGAACCCCCAACCCAGGTATCTGCCATGACTGAGAACTGAATCTGCAACCTTTTGTTGTACAAGATGATGCTCCAACCAATTGAGCCACCTGGCCAAGGCCAGATAAGGTTTTTTTTGTTGTTTTTTTTAAGTCTTGAGTTAAATGTATTATATGAAAGAACTGGCTCACAATGACACATTGCATACCCTGTGAAGTAGATGGTACACAATAAAAAAATGAAAATAACAAGTGTTGGCAAGGACATGGAAAAATCAGAACCCTCACACAATACTGTTGGGAATATAAAGTAGTGCAGCTGCTATGGGAAACAGTTGGATTGTACCTCAAATTATTCAACATAGACCAACAGTGTGACCCAGCAATTCCACTCCTGGGAACATACCTCAAAGAATTGAAGGAAAGTATTCTAATAAATGTTTACAAATACACAAATGTTTATAGCATCATTATTCACAGTAGCCAAGAGGTGGAATCAATCCAATTGCTTATCGACAAGCAAATGGCTAAAAGAAAACGTGATGTATCCACACAATGGAATGTTAGCCATAAAAAAGGAAGGAGGTACTGATACATTGTACAACATGTGAATGAACCTTGAAAACATTGTGCTAAATAAAAGAAGCCAGACAAAAAGGCCATATATTTTATGATTCCATTTATATAAAATATCCAGAACAGGGAAATCTATAAAGCCATAAAGCAGATTAGTAGTTACCAGGGAGTTGGGGAAAGGGTAAGTGGGGAGTGACTACTTAATGGGTGTGGGTTTCTGTTTGAGGCTATGGAAAAGCTTTGAAACTAAGTTGTGGTGGTGGTTGCATACAACATTGTTATGTACTTAATGCTACTGAATTGATCACTTGGAAATGGCTAAAATGGTAAATTTTACACCAGGATTTGTTTTGAAAAAGGAAGAATCTGCTTCTATTTTAGAACTTACACATTTTAAGAAATTTCGAGAAAGCTGCTATAATATATATGTTTTTATATCTAAAACTTGATGGTTCTCATTTGGTTTACATTTTAATGATGGGTCAGGTGATGTTAGTGTTTCCTAAAGTGGTATTCAAGATGATTTTAGTGAGCACTTTTCAACCTTTTTCATCTCACAGCACATATAAACTAATTACTAAAATTCTGTGGCACAGCAAAAAATACATTCTAGCAAAAATTGATCCAAAAGATACCTTTTTGCTAATCTGACAAAAAATAGTTATAATTTCCCCCCCCATCTTTTTAAAGGTTTTATTTACTTATTTTTAGACAGAGGGAAAGGAAGGGAGAAAGAGTGAAAGTGTGTGGTTGCCTCTTGTGTGCCCCCTACTGGGGACCTGGCCCACAACCCAGGCTTGTGCCCTGACAGGGAATTGACGGTGACCTTTTGGTTCCCAGGCGTTGCTCAATCCACTGAACCACACCAGCCAGGGCAGGTAAATTTTATTCATTCACACCAGATAGCTATTGTTGTGTTGATTGTTATAATTTTTAAAAATTTGACAATCTAAGGGTAAAAAGGTCAGTGGCCCTGACTGAATAGTGAGATATTGCATGTATGAAAAATTCTTGCAGCACACTTGTTGAAAATTGCTGTTTAAGGTAATATGGTTATTATTACTTAAAATGGGATTAAGAAAAATGAACAGATTAAATATATATAGCAAAATCACATAGATGAAAAATAAATACAGCAAAATTTATAATTGTATTCAAGTCAAGTTTCAGATGTATTGGGTAATCTTGAACTCTGATTTTTTTGGTGAGTTCAGTTTAGACTACTATCAGCAAGTAAACTTTGTAAATCTGTACTTTAAGAACTGGGAGTGGGAAAGGGAGAATGAGAAAGTAATCTGTAGTCTTGACATTTCTGTCTGATATTCTAGCAAAAATTGATCCAAAAAATGAAGAAGAAGAGAAGCGGCGAATTGAAGCTCGGCGCGAGAAACAAAGGCGCAGAAGAGAGAAAAACAGTGAGAAATATGGAGATGGATACAGGTTTGTGCTTAATAGTCAGAAAATTAGGCTCATTAAAAAACCATTTTCTAGAAAAGTGAAATCAGTTGGAACGTTAAAAATTCCTGAGCACCAAATGAAAAGTTTTGATCAAAGATACACAAGAATGCTTTTGACTTTTGATATTTATATATAGTTACCACTTAGGAAATATAAGAGAAAAGAAGTCCCTTTCAGTAATGGTAATTAAAAAGTAAAATATATTTAGAAGTACAGTATTCTTAAAGAGCAATATATGTCATAGCATGAAGAAAACCACAAAGTCTTTGAGATTGGACTACATGGTGATACAGTGATATTCTTGGACAGGAAAACTAAATATTATAAATATATCAGGTCTTTCTAATCCTGATTCCAAAGAAAATTCTGAAGAAGAGTAAATGAGTAGATACTAGCTGTTCTAGATATTGAAACATTAGAAATTCATCGTCAGTGAAATAAACTGAAAATTTTAATAATAGTATAGCATTTTATTAGCAAGGAGGAAAGAAATTTCCTTTTTGATCTCTCCAAAAATAATCTAAAAATATAGAAGCGTTTAATCTAAAAAGGTTCCCATTACAATATTATATATTATTTATAGTAATTCCAAATGTGCAAGAAATACCAGCAATACAGAGAGACTAAGTATATGTAAGATTAGATACATTCCTTCATGGCTCTTAAGCTATTGGTTATAAAGCCTGAAACAACATGCAGAAAATGCAGGTAAAACAGAAAAATACAGGGTGGGAAAGAGTAGGTTTATAGTTGTTCACATGGAAAATAATACAATAATTAATAAATGATAATCCAAGAATAAACTTTCGCATACTCACAACCGTAAATCTACTTTTGCCCCACGCTGTATATATGCAAGATGTAAAATTATGTCTAGAAGGAAAAAGAGACTACTAGGAAATTGTTTTTAAAGGACAAGATTGATATTCTTTTTTTCCTCTGAAATCTGCCCAGGTACTACTAATGCTAGGGAAATAAAGAATATAAAATTTAAAAAGTAAATTCAAAGTAAAAAGTGTTTCCATTCAAAAAACAGTTTTGCTCTATGAAAGTTAACTTGTTTTTGTAGCATGAAGGGACTGAAATGTTTCACCTATGTGAATTTTCTAGATGTCTAAAAAAGATAACATTTTAAGAGAAGAATCTACAAACCTTTTTAAGGTGGTATTTTAAAAATGTATGAGTTTTCTTCCATATTAAACAGGATACTCTGTTATTACTTGGTTTTAATATGTACAGTGGGTTTGTTTATGTAAAATGTAGTAAAAAATTCAGTTGCATAGGATTCCCAGATTTTTTGTTTGATTAGAGTATCTTTTATATTATTAGTCTGTTAGGTATTACTTGTTTAATCTTTGTGTCCAGATTTAAAAACCTTTACCTATGTTCTTTGTGGTTTGTTACTCCTAATTTGTTGGGACCTGAGAAACAATAAAATTAAGCTTATTAAGAATTAACTCATAAGAGAAGTTTTACGGGGCATCTATGTTGCGGTCTTTGGGAGTATCTCCCACTCTGGTATGATTTCTTTTTTGACAAGGGTAATGGGCTTAGTTACTTTGTAGCAGAAATAAATTGAAATGAATGCTTTGTATCACATGTGTAGGAGTCTAAAGATGGTTTTATATTATAGAATTATATTTACCTATGAATACTTTACCCATTAAAAGTTATAGATTTGGATATCATACGTATATTCATATTAATGTAATATAATAGATTTGGATATCATACGTATATTCATATTAATGTAATATATATTGTGATTTGGAGAACATAGGTGAGCTTTAATTTAGCTGCTTTCTCCATAATTCTAAATATAAACCCAATGACTTAATTAAAAGAGTATCAGTTCAATTAAATTGTCATTTTAGGATAAGAATCCTTTAAAATAATCTGAAATTATTTTAATTTATCAGAGCAGTTTCACTTTGAGTTAGGATAAGAGATTGGCAGTAAGTAACTATTCTTGTAATATATATTTTTTGATATTTGAATGCTTTCAATATAATAAAGAGGATGGAATGGGATGGATTTTTCAGATGTCTTTTACATTGGAGGGCAGGGAAATCAGGGAAATGGATCAGCGTTTATGAACTGATTTAGGAATGGTAGGCATGCAGTAGGAGTTGTTAGGCAGCCCAGGTAGTGGTCATGGCTTGAGGTAAAAACAGCAAAGAAACAAATGTTTCATTCATGTTCAGGAAATTGAAAGCTATGTAGATTGAAAATGACTGTAGTGTATTGAAAGGTGTAATCTAATTAAAACATTTAATGAAGACATACATACGTGCCAGATACTGTTAAAGGTATTACTGGGTAAAGCCAGAGAGGAGGAGGGGGGAGAGTGGGGAGGGAGGGAGAGAGAGAAAGAGAGAAAGAGAGAAGCCCTGCTTGGTGTAGCTCAGTGGATTGAGCTCAGGCCTGTGAACCTAAGGGTTGTGGCTCAATTCCCAGTCAGGGCACATGCCTGGGTTGCAGGCCAGGTCCCCACAGTAGGACATGTGAGAGGCAACCACACACTGATGTTTCACGCTCTTTTCTTCCCTTCCTCTTTCTCTAAAAATAAATAAACTCTTAAACAAAAAAGAGAGAGGAGAGAGCAAGAGCTAAATGGCACATGAAAACATTTTAACATTGTTTTTTGTTTTGTTTTTTGAGCCTTAAGGAGCCAATGAAGCCTTTTTTTTAAAAAAATTTTATTTATTTATTTATCTTTAGAGGGGAAGGGAAGGAGAGAGGAGGAGAAACGTCAATGTGTGGTTCCTTTTCATGCGTCCCCTGCTGGGAACTGGCTTGCAGGGAACCAGCCTGCAACCCAGGCATGTGCCCTGACTGGGAATCGAACCGTAATTGTCTGGTTCACAGGCCCGCGCTCAATCCAATGAAGCCTTTTGAGCAGTAATGTGTTGTTGCCTTCTTTAGGAAGTAACGATAATTAAATGAGTAAGTACTATGTGTCAGGCACTATTCTAAGGGCTTTATATGTATTTTTTAATCCTCATCTCATTAAGATAAGAAGACTAATGTCTAGAGAAAGTTAAGTAACTTGTCCAAGGTCACATAAGGATGCTAGGTATAAACCCAGCTATTGGCTCCAGATCTCATACTTTTTTTTAAAAATCCTCACCTGAGCACATGATTATTTATTTCAAAGAGGAGAAAAGAGGGAGAGAGAAATATTGATGTGAGGGAGAAACATCTATTGGTTGCCTCTTGCATGTAAGCCCGACTAGGGACCAAACCTGCAACCTACTCTCATGATCTGGCCAGAACTGAACCCGAGATTGGCTTACTGGATGACGCTCCTACTAACTGGGCTACACTAGCTAGGGCCAGATCCCCTGCTTTTAACCAGGAAAATAAATTTAATGGTAGCATAAGGAATTAATTGGAAAATCAAGACTGGAGACAGAGAATCCAGTTAGATAATGTTGTCATAATTCAAGGAAAAGGAAATAACTACAATATATAAGACAGGAACAGTTAAATGGGAGAAAAAGGGGAATGACTCCTGAGACTGTAAATGCATGCATTTGTCCAGACCCGGACTGTTAATCGTCCTGAAGTGATGATCTTTGGGAAGCAGGACTTTTGATCTCCCAAGAGCTCCAAGGGAGTGAATTACGGCTGTCTGATATTCCACCTGGCTGTGTTAATAGTACTTTGGTGGTTTGGAAACTAGGAGATGGAACAAGTTGTTGTAAAACAAGTAGTGGAACTTTGGAAATTGATACTTCTTGAGGTTTGCTTTGGCTCTTTAACTGGTTTAGCCTTGAAGTGGAGAGTTTAAAATTAGATTAAGTAGATACACTGATTCCATCTTTTATACCTAGGAACTCCAGGGTGGGCTAGAAATGCAAAGTAGTATAATGACACTGTTGTCTTGAAAGAAATACTGTTTGATTTTATTTTGACTTAAGCTTTATTTACATCAACCAAAAAATGGAAGATAAAAAATCATTTATGTTAGTAAAATTAATTTTGTTATCTTTTTATGAACTTAATAAGTAAACAAGGTAATATTTAAAGAAAAACTTTTTTCCCCTTTATAGAATGGCATTCACATGTTCATTTTGTAAATTTCGAACGTTTGAAGAAAAAGATATTGAACTGCATCTGGAAAGTTCTTCACACCAGGAAACATTAGATCATATTCAGAAACAAACTAAATTTGATAAAGTAGTTATGGAGTTTTTGCATGTAAGTAGCTGTTTTTAAACTGAAAAGCATTTTCTCTGACATTTCAATTTCTTATTTTTTTATGTTCTCCATCTCACTCTTTATGTTTCTAAAATTTTAATTTATTCTTGAAAGTTATTTTGAAATTATCCCAGAATTAGATAGAAATTTATCTTCTATAATAGACTTTAGATTTGTTAATTGAGAGAATATTTTATGTTTTTCACAGTAATTTATGGCATAGGTGTTAGGAAAAGAATTCTTTTACCAACTGTTTATTGATATAGAATCAGCTGTCATACATTGAGGGTCTGTATATGTGGTGTTTTGATATTATATTTTAATTTCATAACAACTCTTTTTTACCATGAAAAATTATCCTCAGAACAGTTTAAGTGACTCAGTAAAGTGGTGGATTATGAATTCAAAACCATAGAACCAGGTGTCTGTTGAGTGTCCTTTGTATTATGAGTGTGTAGTCATCAGTTCAGTGATTTTCCTTGAATATTTATGAAATGTGCTGTGCAGGTACTGAAAACACAGATACTACCCTCAATGAACAGACAGTAATTGGAAATAGAACATATTCACCCATACACAGATGATACAGTTAGGTGGAAGGGCCAAGAATGATAGTATAGGCCAAAGGAGTTTGGAGTACAGGTGGTTATCTGGGGTCAGGGATTCTTAAGGAAGGTGCTAGATACAGCTGGACTGTTAATTGCGCATACAGTCCATTTGGGCAGAAGAGATGGAATTGTTGAGAGGTTAGCAATGCAGTGATCATTCAGTCCTTCATATCCTTGCAGAATTGTGTCCCTTAGTTACAATTTTATGCAGTTCATTCCTTAACCGGATTTTGTCATTTAGGACTTAAGTACTCACCTGCCCAAAGAAGACCTCTTGCGTAGTCTAGCTCTTTGATTTCTCTTAATCTGTGTGCCTAAAATACATTTTAAGTGAACTTTTTATAGTTTCCTAGTACTTTATGACAGCCTTCTCAACTAAACTGTAAGCTTTTTGAGAATAGATATTAGTTCTTATATAACACATACGATTGCTTTTCATAGGCTGAGCACATGCCAGGTGCTCACTGATAACTTTTTGGATTCTTCCTATTTTGTTTTTAGGAGTGTATGGTAAATAAATTCAAGAAAACATCTATTCGTAAGCAACAGACAAATAATCAAACAGAAGTCGTCAAAATAATTGAAAAAGATGTTATGGAAGGTAAGTATTTAAACAAATTGTTTTAGAAATTTACATGTCTATTTTACACCTTAACCTATTTCAATGTAAATGATGTCCACTAGAGTGACACAGTACATAGTTTTACATGGTAGCCCTGAGTGGGTTATTAAAAATGAAGTTGGCTTCCTGTTCTCTTGCTTACAAATGTATCACTTTCTATCCTTCTGGCTTTCACTTAAGCTTTAGAGGAAAAATCATGTTTACACCTGGATGAAAGTACTTCTACCATCTGTACTCTCTCATCCTTATCCCTTCTTATCTCCTCAAGAATTTTGCTGTTCGGTTTTTTGTTCCTTCTCTTTTATTTCCCTCGCGGAAGCCTGTGCTCTTATTTTAAAAACAAATAAAAAACCAGAGGAACAAAAGAAAATAAAAATGTGCATTAGTTCACAATGTGCCGGCCTTTCCCTTTAAACAACAGTGGTCTCTATTTCTTCACTCCCATTTATTACTTTACCCAGAGTAGACAACTTTCTGCTCCCCTTAGTTTACTGAAACTGCTCTGACATGTTGCCAACATCAACTTCTGTAAGTTCTTTTGAATTTTCTGACTTATGCTATGTTTTTCACTGATGAATTTATTCTCTGAAACCATTTCCTTCCTTGGTTTCTCTGGTGTCTCACTTTCCCGATGTTCTCTGTATTCCCTTGTCATTTTTTACTTTTTCATGGTTTTCTTTCTGTATCAGGCATTTAGAAGTTGGTGTTTCCCAGTAGTTTATTAGTCCCCCCCATTATCATCTCTCTTTATATTTCTTCCAAATGACTTCATTTACTTATAGAGCTTAAATTAACATTTTTGGTAATTACTAATATATGTATAGCATAGATCTCTTTTTTGACCTCTAATGTCATACATTCAACTGCCTATTCACATCTTTCTTCACCAGTTCCATAATATTAACATATCCAAAAACGTTATCCTCTCTTTGAGCATCCTCCAGCCCATGAAGAAAACGAAACAAAAACTCTGCACATACTTTTTCATTTATGTTGGAAAGTGGCCGTACCATCAAAGCAGAAGTTAATCCTAAGTATTTTACTTGACCAGATCTGCAGCATTGTGTCCTTTATGTTTCATCTTTTAAATGTCTACCAAGTCTGTTTCTTTATCTCCTCTTTAAATATGCATTTGTTCAAATCTTTACATGTTCTTTTAACAGTTACAGTATTTGGCTAACTAGTTTTCTTACTTTCAGTTTCTTGCCTCTAATTCTATTGTATCACATCATTACTTCAAGAATTTTCAGTGGCTCCCCCCATTCTCTCCAGGATAAAGTTTAAATTTCTAGGCATGGCGCACAAAAAGCTCTCCATGGTTTAGACCTCTTTCTTTTTTTCTCTTTTCTCATCTTTTGTCCTTTCTATTTTTTTAAGTATATTTTATTGATTATGCTATTACAGTTGTCCCATTTTTCCCCTTCCCGTTATCCCTCTCTAACTTGCAACCCCTTCCCACCAGCATTCCCTTGCTTTAGTTCATGTTCACGGGTTGTACGTATAAGTTCTTTGGCTTTTCTATGTCCTACGCTATTCTTAACCTCCCCCTGTCTATTTTCTACCTATCATTTAAGCTCCTTAGTCCCTGTACCCTTCCCCCATTTTGCCCCCACCTACTCCCCACTGATAACTCTCCATGTGAACTCCATTTCTGTGATTCTCTTCTTGTTGCTTAGTTTATTTTTGTTTTTATTTTGTTTTTAGGTCAGTTGTGAATAGTTGTGAGTTTGTTGTCATTTTACCGTTCATAGTTTTGATCTTTTTCTTAGATAAGTCCCTTTAACATTTCATAAAATAAGGGCTGGGTGATGATGAACTCCTTTAACTTGACCTTATCTGGGAAGCACTCTACCTGTCCTTCCACTCTAAATGAAAGCTTTGCTGGATTGAGCAATCTTGGATGTAGGTCCTAGCTTTTTATGACTTGGAATACTTCTTTCCAGCCCCTTCTTGCTTTTAAGGTCTGTTTTGAGAAATCAGCTGACAGTCTGATGGGCACTCCTTTGTAGGTATGTGTTTCCTTTTCTCTTGATGCTTTTAAGATTCTCTCCTTATCTTTAATCTTGGCTAATGTAATTATGATGTACTTTGGTGTGTTCCTCCTTGGGTGCAACTTCTTTGGAACTCTCTTAGCTTTCTGGACTTCCTGGAAGTCTATTTCCTTGGCCAGATTGGGAAAGTTCTCCTTTATTATTTGTTCAAATAAGTTTTCCACTGGTGGCTGTTCATCTTCCCCTTCTGGTACCCCTATAATTCAGATGTTGGAATGTTTAAAGATGTCCTGAAGGTTCCTAGGCCTCTTGTCAATTTTTTGAATTCTTGTTTTTCTTCATCCTTTTCTGTTCGGTCATTTTTTCCTTCCTTCTGTTCCACTCCATTGATTTGAGTCCCAGTTTCCTTTCCATTATTATTGGTTTCCTGTGCATTTCCCTTCATTTCAATTGTGACTAAAATCAACCAGTCCTGTGAGCATCCTGACCAGCATTGTTTTGAACTGTGCATCTGAAAGTTTGGCTGTTTCTTTGCCGCTTAAATTTATTGGCTCTGGGGCTTTGAGTTATTCTTGAGCCATGTTTTGGTTTGTTTGTGCCTGTTACATATGAGGAGCGGAGCCTTAAGTGTTCACCAGGGTGGGGCCACCCAGGTCGCTGGTGTGTGACGATGTATGTGGGGGCAGGGTTAGAGAAGGACAATGGCAGTCCCCTCTGTCGCGTCCTGCTGCTGGGGCCTTTGCGGTCTGTCTCACTGCTCGCTCCTTCCCTGGTTTATCGATTTGGCTGAAGGGTTTGTTGTTGTCAGACTTCCATATAGTTCAATTTTCTGTGGTTTGGCTACGTTTTTGTTGCTTAAAGTTTGTTGTTTTTAGACTTGGTTGTGTGAGAAGGCACAGTGTGTCTACCTACGCCTCCATCTTGGCGGAAATCTCTTTTGTCCCTTCTTTATACTCTGTGTCACAGCCATACAGGATTACTTGCAATTCCTAGGAAGAACCATTTTCTTTTACAGGTATCCTTTGCACGTATTGAGTTTCCAAAAAGTCCATTTAGTTTTTTCTGTAAAATAAAAGACACATTTTTTTATTTTGAGTAACTTTTGGATATTTTGAATATGCCGACTATTTCCGACATGGTATAAAGTTGATTGTTCTCAGTTAATGTCTCAATTTGATCACTATCAAATTGAACTGGTTTACCTGACCATAGAGCATCGTTCAGCGAGAAATCTCTAGCCCGAAACTTCACAAATCACTTTTGACACGTTTGATCAGTCATAGTAACCTCTCCATACACTGCACAAATCTTTTTCCTTTTTTTTTGTACTTCAATTTAGTTTTTACTTTTCTTGAAATAATAAAGGATAGTATACTAAAAATGTGTTATTTTCTTCCATCTTCAATATTGAAATGGCTACACAAAAATTCACTAATTTTGATACTTTTTAATTAATGCATGCTGATATGATAGCTTTCACAATACAATCTAACAAAATTGTTTCAAATGAAGTTAAAGGTAGCTAAGCACTGCCAGAGCCATCTTATGGAAAAAAACCAGATGAACTTTGTGGCCAACCTAATATTTGTTTATACCTTCTTCACTTGTAATAAACCTCAATTACCATTTTCAAGATCTGATACATATTTTGTTCCTTGTGAATTGAATTTTGAAATCTTTTTCCCTGTTGTTACACACCACATTCATAATCATGCGCATTCTTATTTTATTACAGAATCATACTTGTTTTGTTTTATATTTCATTTTGGGGGTGGACTTACAGGCTTTAGTGCTGATTATATAACATTATTAGGAAGTATAATTATGTTTTTTATTTTAATCTTTTATCCATATATTTTTAAGCTATGTATGCAGATTTAGGAGATACAGTTAAAAAAACCAACATGAACCTAAATACTCCCATCCTTTTTTGGGAGGAAGGAGTATAAATAATTATGGAAACAAAATAGTAAAGCTTGATTTGTCTGAAATAAGAATATATGAGTTATTTCTTATTAATTGGATTTCATTTGTAGGTGTTACTGCAGATGACCACATGATGAAAGTAGAAACTGTTCACTGCAGTGCTTGTAGTGTGTACATCCCTGCTTTACATAGTTCAGTCCAGCAACACTTAAAGTCTCCTGACCATATCAAAGGGAAGCAGGTAAGTTTGTATCTGTCCTAATGAAGTCCTTAAATTAATCTTCAGTCCCTGTCCTTCAGAGGCCATTGTTTCACACCTACCAACTTGTGTACAGTTCTGTTAATCTTATGTGTGAATAATTATAAAGATAGCTAGAGGCAGCATGCACAGTAGTTAAGATTGTGGGCTCTAGAGCCAGACTTTCTGAGTTGGAATTGTGGTTCAGTATATAATACACGAATTGGCTTTACGTTTCCTTATCTGTAAAGTGAGTGTGGATAATCATTCTACTTTTATGTGACCATTTATATGTTAGATTAATTAAAACATAAAAGACATTTACAGTGGTGCCTGGCACACATAGTAGCCATTTAGAAAAATCATAGCTATTGTCGAACTGTTCTTTTCATTAACAGTTTTTAAAAAGTTAGTACAAAATGATTGTGTGTGTATGTGTGTTAGAACAAAAAAGAAAGATTTGATTGTAACATGTTTCTGTGGTTGGGAAAAGTAAATTGAAAAAGCAGGATTATCAGTTACTGTCTTAAATATTTTAGTAGAATTTACTCAAAAATTCGAGAAGAGCCCTGGCTGGTATAGCTCAGTAGATTGAGCATGGGCCTCTGAAGCTATTTTTAAAATTATAGAAGAATGTATTTTCTTTTTAGCGTATTTCTGCTTCTATATTGGTTGCTTTTATTTAGTCAAATTTATTTCAAATTAAATGTTTATATTTTGTGAAATTTGTTTAAAAAGCAAATTAAAAAATTCAAATAATAAAGATTTAAGTTTTAAATAGAATATACCTGAGTCTTAAATTCAAATTTTGTATTAAAGTGAACCTCATTTAACTCAGGCTTTTTAAGACATTTTTAGCTACTTTAAGCACATACAATATTTTTAAAAATTTTTGTCTTTTGATAATTTTTTGACACTTTTGGAAACTAGACTTGCATATTTTACCACTTATTCTTTTTATATTTTTTATTGTTTTTTAAGTACAGTTGTCTCCATTTTCCCTCCACCCCTGCCACCCCCACTTCCCACCCTCGATCCTACACCTTTGGTTTTGTCCATGTGTCCTTTATACATGTTTCTGAAAACTCTTGCCCCCATTATCCTCTTCTCCTTTGTATAAAACAGCCCGGAGTTAGACTAATTACTCTAGCTGTATGAAAAATTATTATTATTTTTTTTGGTAGCATGAAAATCAATGGTTGGAGTAGTTGGCACTGGAGGATGTAGAGGTAGAATGGAGAGAAAACAGATGTCTAGGAGACCTAGACTTAAGTTACCTGCTGACTAGGTGTGTGTTGTTGAAGCTGATTTGCTCATCAAAGGTCATTGTTTTAATCCATAGATGATTTACACTGCAGTCATAGTAGCTCTTGTTGCTTTTATAGTTTTATTTGCCAGAAGGTAAATCATTTAAATTTAAGAATTTGACTATATAATGTCATTTTAATTATGGGAATATTTTTTATGTCATAGTTTTCAAGTACTACAGTGTGTTCTATTTTTTCATAGGCTTATAAGGAACAAATAAAAAGAGAGAGTGTCTTGACTGCTACAAGCATTTTAAATAATCCAATAGTGAAGGCGCGATATGAACGTTTTGTTAAGGTAAGGTGCTCTTTAGCTTATGTTGTATTGTAATAATGAAATGACATAGTAACTCTTTGTGATATTTAAATATAGTACAATATTAGAAAGAATTTTACTTAATATCTTGCATATAACTAAAATATCTGTTTTTCCTAATCAGTGGAATTTGTGGTGGGGAAAGAGCAATAAGCCATTTCTACCCCTCTTTCTAGCTCTGAATTATTTGAGAGATACACAGAAGTCTGATAGAAGATCAAAAGTTAGCATTAATCTTTTTTTTTTTAAGATTTTATTTATTTTTGGAGAGAGGGGAAGTGAAGGAAAGAGGGAGAGAAACACTGATAGGTTAGTTGCCTCTTGTACTTGCCCCAGCTGGGGATTGAACTGGCAACCTTTCACTTCGCAGGACAGAGCCCAACCAACCAAGACATACTGCTTAGTGCATCAGCTTTATTCTTGATTTTTAGAGAATGGATGACTTGAAGGATATGTTTCACTTGTATAATTATGTGGACCCCCTAACAGTGCACTTGTAAATTAGATAGGTTTATGACCACCCCAACTTTTGTTACTGGTTCAGGTGGATAGCAACAGCTTTCTCTTAGTTTACCACGTGGCATAGAACAGACTAGAATGTATCATTTCTATTGCTAGGAAGACCCAAAAGAAGGGACCCAGAAGGGAATGAGTTGTACATGTCCAGTTTCTTCTCCCAAATATACTAATTGGATAAGTCATTTCTCTTCCTTGGATAAACTTGGAGAGGAAGCAGAGAGGTCAGTTATGTTGCTTCAGAAAAAGCTCCCTCATGGAATCAGGAGGCCAGGAGAAGGGTTTGCCCCTTATGTTAGGAAACTCAGATGTGGACAATAAGGTATACCTGGCCCGCTGCTTCTCACAGTATTTGCCCTATAGTACTAAGGAATCTTTCTTTACACAAAATCCTTCTTTACAGTGCCTATAGTACAAACAAGAACTTAATTATTATTCAGGAAATAATATAAATAAATTTTAGATTTTAGTTTTTGACTTAATTTTTTTAGTTTTTATTATTCAATAATTTAAAAAAGATTTTAAGTTTGTTTTTAGAGAGAGGGGAAGGGAGGGAAAAAGAGAAGGATAGAAAAATCAATGTGCAGAAGAAACATCCATTGGTTGGTTGCCTTTCACGTGTCCCCAAATTTGGACCAGGCCCACAAACCAGGTATGTGCCCTACTGGGAATTGAATCAGCAGTCTTTTGGTTTGCAGGCTGGCACTCAATGCACTGAGCCACAAAAGCCAGGGTGAGTTTTTGTAAAATAATACCTTATTTGAAAATACCCTTTTGAGTTTTGAGTTTTTATAAATTAATACCTTACTTTAAAATCATACTACACTGAACAGAGTTGTCATGTTGAAGATTTACAAAAGACTCTTATTTACATTAGTAACTAATTCTTTATTTTATAAATTAGAGAAGTTTTGTTCATTTTGGCTGTTGTGGTGGTTAACCATGTGCTCTGTGAAGAAGCCTGATATACAATGTCAACTGATGGTTGGTGGCACCAATTCAGTGCCCACAGGAATCTCCAATTTGGGGTGCAGTGAAGAAGAAAAACTTTATTCAGTGCAAAACAGTTCAACTGTGATACAACATGGCTGTGAAAGCAACAGAATTATGAGGCAGTTCTGGGGCCATGCCGCTCTCCACCTAGACAGCTCTGCTTTCCTCCTTGGTAGTTGGCTTTGTGCTTAACTGGTTTGCTCCATTCTGTGCCAGTCTGCTGGTCCGCTCTACTCCAGTGAGTCATCTTCAGTGCTTCAGCTTAGCTACTCTTCAGTCTTTGGTAGAAAGGTTGAAAGTGCATTCTCAGAGCCAGAGGGGAGCTGGGTTATATAAACAGAAGTACCCACCCCTAGTCCCTGATTGGTCCGGCCTCCTGTAACTATAAATCCTTTCAGTGATGGGTCCAAAAGGCACTGTCCTGATTGGTCGAAATAGAGCCACTTTGACTGGCAGGAGCTGTGCAGCTCTGATGAATAGGGAAATCCTCTGTCCTATTGGTTGAAGTAGGACTCCAGGAAACCTTTATAAGAGCTGGCACAGATGGCAGAAACACAGTGCAGGCAGGTGGTTCAGTGTAGGTCTCTTTCTGAAATGCAGTCTGAGTGAGAGGTCCCTGTCTAGAAATAGTTGCCATGCTCTGTTCTTTCTTTTTAAAAAAATTTGAGCCCAGTTAGCCACGAGGAACTTTTCTTAGTACAAGGTGTTTTGCATATCAAGGTTTATAATATTTAATGACCACTAAATCATCCTTCAATCAATCAAGTGAGGACTTCTGACTAAGATGGAGGCATAGGTGGAAACACTGTACCTCCTCGCATAACCAAGTTTATATACAACAAATATTTAAAAACCAGAACATAACCAAAACATAGAGAAGATTAAACTGTACTGAAGTCCGACTACAACAAACCATTCATCCAGATTGGTAAGAGGGGCAGAGTCAGCAGCTGGTGGAGAGGAGTCATGCAGGAAAAAGCGGCCTGATTGACTCAGGTGTGCAGGCGGTGGTTGGCAGATCCCAGGCATGGGGTGGCAACCCAGTGAGGGTGCAAGGTGGCTGGCTGACTGTGGTCACACATTCATATGCAGGTAAACTAGGTGAAAAAATGGACAGTAAGACAGACCGTGCGACCCAGAGCCCCAGTGCTGGAAAATAAAGCCTAAAAGCACCAATTGGAAAAACATTAGGGGGTCAGGGTGCCAGGAGAGGCTCCCAGGCTCACAGAGAGTTCATTGGAGAGACCCACAGAGTTCTGGAGGGTGCACAAGCCCATGCACCCGGAAACCAGCACCAGAAGGGCCCAATTTGCTTGTGAGAAGTGGCAGAGGGGACCAAAGTCAGAGAGAGCAGAAAAACCATTGTCCCTCTCTGACCCCGCCCCCACATACAGGATCACAACCCCAGGACCTGGGTTGCCCTGCCCTGGTGAACACTTAAGGCTCCACACCTCATACATAATAGGTGCGGCCTGACCAAAACATTATGGCTCAAGAAGAACAGCTCAAAGCCCCAGAACCAATACTTCTAAGCCACAAAAAGATAGTCGACCTATCAGATGCACAGTTCTAAACACTGGTGATCAGGATGCTCACAGAATTGGTTGATTTTAGTCACAAATTAGATGAAAAAAATGAAGGTTTCACTAAGTGAAATGAAGCAAAATGCACAGGGAAACAATAGTGATGGGAAGAAAACTGGGACTCAGATCAATCTAGTGGACCAGAAGGAAGAAAAAAATAACCAAACAGAATACAACGCAGAAACAAGGATTCAAAAAAATGAGAAGAGGCTTAGGAATCTCCAGGACATCTTTATATGTTCCAACATCTGAATTATAGAGGTACCAGATGGGGAAGAGGAAGAGCAACAAGTGGAAAAGATATTTGAACAAATAATAAAGGAGAACTTTCCCAATCTGGCAAAGGCAATAGACTTCCAGGAAGTCCAGGAAGCTCAGAGAGTCCCAAAGAAGGTGGACCCAAGGAAGAACACACCATAATTACATTAGCCAAGATTAAAATGAAGGAGAGAATTCTAGAAGCAGCAAGAGCTAAGGGGACAGTCACCTACAAAGGAGTTCCCATCAGACTGTCAGCTGATTTCTCAAAAGAGAAGGGGCTGGAAAGAAGTATTTCAGGTCATGAAATCCAAAGACCTACATCCAAGATTGATCTGTCCAGCAAAGCTTTCATTTATAATGGAAAGGCAGGTAAAGTGCTTCTCAGATAAGGTCAAGTTCAAGGAGTTCTTCATCACCAAGCTCTTATATGAAATGTTAAAGAGACTTACCTAAGAAAAAGATAAAAAAGATGAAGAGTGAAAGGACAGCAAACTCACAGTTATTAAGAACCACACCTAAAACAAAAGCAAAGCTAGATCAGGAGTGGAACTGTAGAAATGGAGATCACATGGAGGGTTAGCAACAGGGGAGTGGGAGGGGGTGGGCAGAAGGTACAAAGTAGCATAGACGGTAGGTAGAAAATAGATGGGGGGGAGGACAAGAATAGTATGGGAAATATATAGAATCTAAAGAACTTAAGACACATGGACATGAAGTAAAGGGGGGAATGTGGGAGGGAAAGGGTGTGCAGGGTGGAGGGGAATGAAGGGAATGGGACAACTGTAATAGCATAATCAATAAAACATTTAAAAAATCAAGTGACTTCCAAGTTGAATCAGTGTCAGTTCTTTCAGCTTGTTTCTTAGGAACTTGATTTCTTTTTCTAATTAAGAAAAAATTAGATTTTTGTCATTGCTGTATCACAAACTTTTGAGAAGTTAATGGTTTCTATTAATGTATGAAAATAATGTTTAATGAGAGAAGAATACAAATTAGAATTTCTGTGTAGGGTTTTCAGGCTTAACTTAGGATCACTTCATGGAAAAAGATATCATTGGTGGAGTGTCTGCTCATGGACCTATTTTGGAGAAAGTGCCTGAACTGAGGAGATTGCTTCAGGTGCCTTGTTGCTGTGAATGGGGTCCATGGACTGCAGTACTGGCACTTTCTGGGAGCTCATTAGAAATGCAGTTTCATTTTCAGTTCATGTCCAGGCCTATTGAATAAGAATCTTCATTTTAATAAGATTCTGTTTGATTCATTTGTGTTAAAATTCAGGAAGCACTGAAGTCACATTGTTCAGTGATTTCCCTTTGTTCAACATTTGTCTACTTTGTTCCTTGCTGTATTCCCCAGAATATTCTCTGTTTGTGGTCTGCTGTGGTCATGGCTTAAAACTCTTTCACTTTCAAGTGCTCTCAGTCTGACAAAATACCCTTTTTAATCTTTGTCCCATGAAGATAGTCAATTCATCCGTTTCTCTCAATTCTCCAACTGTATCATCTTGTTCTCTCCACTCCCTGACCTGGACACTCATGGTCAGCCCTAACAACAGTGGAGTGCTTATAAAATTGCTTCCTTATTTGTTGTTCTGCCACTTACCAGTTCCCAGCACTGTGCCATCTACAGTTAGCTGTATTTACTGTGTCTTGCTGACAGTTCTGTGGCATCGTGTCAGTGTTGTGCTTGAACATTTTCACTGCATTTCACAGTAATTTTACTTAATTACCTATCAGTGTAATGTTTTCTATAGTGACTGTTTCAAACTTATTCCACTCTTCATATACGGAGATTTCATTCTTACTCCCCTCACTTCCCACATTATTATTTCTTGTCTTAGGGAGATAGAGAGCATTAGATATAGAGAGCTCCATAGTCCTTTGGAGTATGGAGCTCTACCTTGGATTTATGTATTTATGCAGTACCTTTATTGTTATCTGTGAAGCAAAATACCACTAAAATTTTTACTTTATATATATCTATTTTAAAAATATTTATTTTTTAGAGAGGAGAAGGGAAGGAGAAAAAGAGGGAAAGAAACATCAATGTGTGGTTGCCACTCATGAGCCCCCGACCAGGGACCTGGCCCACAACCTAGGCATGTGCCCTTGCTGGGAATAGAACCTGCAACCTTTTGGTTTGCAGGTCCATGCTCAATCCACTGAGCTATACCAGCCAGCGCTAAAAAGAACTTTTCTTAAATATATCTTATTGATTATCGTATTACAGTTCTATTTCCCCTCCTTTATTCCTCTCCACCCTGCACCCCACTCCTACCAGCACTCCCCCACTTAGTTCATGTCCATGGGTCATACATGTAAGTTCTTTGGCATCTCCATTTCCTGTACTATTCTTAACGTCCCACTGTCTATTTTGTACTTACCATTTATGCTTCTTATTCTCTGCACCTTTTCTCCTATTCTCTTCCCTGCTGATAACCTTCCATATGATCTCTATTTCTGTGAATCTGTTCCTGTTTTAGTTGTTTGCTTAGTTTGTTTTTGTTTTTGTTTTAGGTGTGGTTCTTACTAACTGCGAGTTTGCTGTCCTTTCACTGTTCACCTTTTGTATCTTCTTTTTCTTAGATAAGTCCCTTTAACATTTCATATAATAATGGCTGGGTGATGATGAACTCCTTTAACTTGACCTTATCTGGGAAGCACTCTACCTGCCCTTCCACTCTAAATGAAAGCTTTGCTGGATTGAGCAATCTTGGATGTAGGTCCTAGCTTTTTATGACTTGGAATACTTCTTTCCAGCCCCTTCTTGCTTTTAAGGTCTGTTTTGAGAAATCAGCTGACAGTCTGATGGGCACTCCTTTGTAGGTACGTGTTTCCTTTTCTCTTGATGCTTTTAAGATTCTCTCCTTATCTTTAATCTTAGCTAATGTAATTATGATGTACCTTGGTGTATTCTTCCTTGGGTGCAACTTCTTTGGAACTCTCTTAGCTTTCTGGACTTCCTGGAAGTCTATTTCCTTGGCCAGATTGGGGAAGTTCTCCTTCATTATTTTTTCAAATAAGTTTTCGATTTCTTGCTCTTCCTCTTCTCCTTCTGGCACCTCTATGATTTGGATGTTGGAACATTTAAAGTTATCCTGGAGGTTCCTAAGCCTCTCCTCATTTTTTTTTGAATTCTTGTTTCTCCATTCTGTTCTGGTTGAATGTTGTTTCTTCTTTCTTCTCTAAATAGTTAATTTGAGTCCTGGTTTCCTTCCCTTCACTGTTGGTTCCCTGTATATTTTCCTCTATTTGACTTTCTGTAGCCTTCACTTTTTCTTCTCTTTTGTGACCATCCTCCACCATTTCTGTGAGCACCCTGATTACCAGTGTTTTGAACTGTGCATCTGATAGGCTGGCTGTCTGTTCATTGCTTAGTTTTGTTTTTTTCTGGAGTTTTGATCTGTTCTTTCATTTTGGCCATATTTCTTTGTCTTGGCACACCAGCTATATTGTGAGGGGCAGAGCCTTAGGTATTTATCAGGGTGGGGCAACCCATGTCTCTGCCTTGTGGTGCTGTATGTGGGGGAGGCATTAGAGAAGGAACAGTCACTTTTGCTTGGCTCTTGCATGGCTTTCAGTCACTTTCCCTGCTATCCACAAACAAATTGGGCCCTTGTGGTGCTGAATCCTTGGTGTGTGAGTTTGTGTAGGTTCTACAACTCTGTGGACCCCTCCAACAATCTCTCCTGTGAGGCTGGGAGTTTCTCCCACATCCACAACCACCACTGATTTTTATAGTCAGAGGTTTAATTTTCTTTTCCCTCACTGGAATCCTAGGTTGCATGGTCTGTCTACTCCCCAGTTATTCCTCCCAGTTTATCCACACAGAAATATGGGATTGCCAGGTCCTCCAGCCAATGCCTTGCTGTGAGTTCTCTTCACCCTGTCTTCCTATCTATGCACTTCCTACCAGTCTGGATGAATGTTTCTTCTTTAGCTCCTTGGTTGTCGGACTTCCATACAGTTCAATTTTGTGGCAGTTATGGTTGTTTTTTGTTTTTAAATTTATTGTTGTCCTTCTTTTGGTTGTGATAGGAGGCAGAATGTATCTACTACCAACACCTCTCTCTTGGCCAGAAGTAAAAAAATACAATTTTTTGCCTGTCATCTGTATTGTTGTTTCATTAGCTTTCTCTTTCTTTACTTGCATCTGACTTTTTTCCCTCTTTATTTTACTATATTCCCGAAACAGACACACTAGTGAGTTCCCTAAACTAAAAATGACTTAACTTTTCCTAGTCTCTGGTTGTACTTGAAAAGGCAGTTTACGTTTAACCTAGTCGTTCTCTAATGGACATATGTAATTAGAATTACTTGTTAGGCCAAAACCAAGTTAAAATCTGCTTAGGCATTTCCTAAAACCTTCTAAATTAGGGTTTTCAAACAGTTTCTGATATGTATTTCTGAAATATGCATGTTACTGGACTTCTTTCCTGGAAATTGTGATTCAAGAGGTCTGAAATTGATTCAGGGATTTGATTTTTTTAGTAAGAGCTCCACTACTTGACTAAATTAAAATCTCAGAGTGTGATACCTGGGCCTTTGTCTTTCGGGAGCTTCATGGGAAATGATGGCAATTAATTCTTGGGCAGTTCTTGGTGTTTAACTTTCACTTAAATCATCCTTTTGAAACTGCTGTAAGATTACCAGTGACCTAGTTTTCAAATAACAACATTTAGTATTTTCTCTATTATTTTAAATTTAAGAAATAAAGGTGATAGTGTAATAAATCCCTCAGGTGGTACCCTCACCAAGCTTTAGTAATGATCAACTGCAGACCTTTTTCAGTTCTGTTCCACTCTTGTTTGCATTACTTTGCACTGTTCATCTATCACTTATTCTTGAAACTTTGTTTTGCCATTTAATATTTTGCTATCCGGGGTTTCCTCCTATATTGAGTGTTCCTTTTCTAACTTCTGCCCCCATGTATAGGCATTTTCGTAGGGTTTTTTTTTTTTTTTTCCTGCTCTCTCCCCGAGTCCCATCCCTGGGCTGTCCCATTTAAGATCTTGGCTTCACTATTCACTCTGCAAGCAATTCACAGATCTGAATGTCTTTCTTTGAACTGTCTTCTGAGTTGCAAATTTATAGCTGCCTGTTAGTCATTTAGACATCCGAAATTCTAATATATAGCATATACCTGCTTCTTCCCCTTTCCCATCCTATTTTACCTATTCTTTTAATGGTGTCATCACATCTTCTATACTTTCCTATTAAGTGCTATTAAGAGTAGACTTGTCATTGGTTATTTCTCGTCTTGCTACTCCAACTTATCTTGCACATTCCTGCCCGGTTTATGTTAAAGTGTATCACCAGTCTTACACTGTTCTGCCTAATAATCTTCATTGTCTCTACACTTCCTGCAATGTTAATGTAGCCTTCTGATATGTTGTTTCTGAGACTTAATCTGGATACACAATTGCAGTATTTAAATAAAAATACTAAAATACAGTTGTGTCTCTGAATGTTCAGTGAATTAAAGATTTGTTTACTTTTTTAAAGAAAAAGGCACATAATTTTCATTTTAGGTTTTTAAAGATATTCTATCTACAACAGTGGTGCATCTACTACTAGTATAATTAAGTAGGACATAACTATTTTGCTTCACCTACTTAGTTTCTGTGCAAACCCATATATTTTCCTCCTACACACACCTCTCTCTCTCTCACTCTCTCTCTCTCACTCTCTTTCACCATCCCTCCCTCCATCCCTCCCTCCCTCACACTCATACACACAGAGACATACAATTTTAGAAATTCAGTTAGGGAAATGTGTTCTTTTTACCTTCCAGTTTATGGAGTGTATGGTAATGACTTCAGTAATGTTTACGCTCATATTGGTATCAGTAGGCATTGAACAGATGTTTAGTGAATTTGTCGTATCTTGAAATACAAAGCTTTTAAAAATATTTGTTTTGGTGATATAGTGTAAAAATTTCACTGATATGAAATGAATGTGCTGAGTTGTTTCTCCTCATGTCTTTAGGGTGAGAATCCTTTTGAAATTCAAGACCATTCTCAAGATCAGCAAATAGAAGGAGACGAAGAGGAGGAGGAAAAGATTGATGAACCTATTGAAGAGGAGGAGGAAGAGGAGGAAGAAGAAGAGGAAGTGGGAGAAGTGGAGGAAGTAGAGGAAGCAGAGGAAGTGGGGGAAACAGAGGAAGTGGAGGAATTAGAGGAAGGGGGAGAAGGTGAAGGAGTAGAAGGAGCTGGGGAAGGCGAGGCTGCTGGGGAAGGAGAAGGAGTTCGAGAAGGAGGAGGAGTGGGGGACGGAGGTGAAGCAGCAGCAAAGGAAGAGCGTGTCGGCTCCCCTGTTGACCAACCTGAAGAAAATTAAATATAAGGTATTAGATTTAAAAAAAGCTTTAAATTTCTGTCTTAATGTGGAGAAGGGTAAGAATTTTAATAGTTTAAAATATGAGACTAACACCTATGTTGCATGCATTCCACACATTAAATTTGTTTTATATAATTTCTAAATGTTTGGCATTTGTTTTAATAAAATGAAGGTATTAGTTTAGTTTTTATAGCTACCAAACTTAGATTCAATAAATTGTATAATTTTTAAGCTTAATTTTTATTACTTTATTGGTGTTAGGATAACAGATGTGTATTGTCAGTATATCTATTCTAATCATTTCAACTTAAATGCTGCTCTTGGGAGATTATATTCAAGTGTGCATTAATGTTTTGAATACTTACCCTGGAAGAGATAAATTGGGCAAGTATTTTGTGCTCTGTGTATTTTTTTACTGCATTGGACATTGAATAGTAATTTGCTTTAAGATACGCTTTAAGGCTTTTTGTGACCATGTTACCCTTTGTAGCAATAAAAAGTGTTTTTTGTTTTTTTTTGTTTTTTTTAATAAAAACTCTATCTAGATTAACAATTTTAAATGAAGCAGTTCAGAAATTAAATGAGTGTTTAAAATTAGGATTTGCCTTAATGCACGAGTTCAGCTCACGAGTATTTTAAGATGATTGAGAAGACTTGAATTAAAGAAAAATTTTACCTCAATCATATTTTAAAATGTATTACTAAATATTTTTAACATATTTCAAATAGAGGTCAGTCTATAACTGACCTATTTATACTTGTTTTAATTCATCTTGTTTCTTGGTGCCTGTGTCAAATCTTGAAATCTTTTTGAAAATACATTTGAATACAAATAATTTTTCATAGTTGTGTTAGTTATTTTGTTATGTCAGTTTTTGGTTGAAGAACAAAGAAGCAAACTATCACTTTTTTAAAAAAGAATTATTTCTCTCTTGACTGTTTACCTCCTGTATTTACTTTCTGTAGTCCATATGCTCTTGTATCGTGTAAAAAAAGAAGAAGATGAGACTGATAGATGACCTTTTTCAAATGACTGTTTATGTCACTTAAAAGCAGTACTCTGTTTGAATCTTCACTCCGGCCTCTTTGCAGAGGGGCACTCTTTCCATAAAATTAGCTTCTCGAAATTTTGAGGCATCAAATGAATCAATATATAGGTATATTAAATAATTTTAAGGCATTAAGTAGATGATTTTATGGGCATTTGTAGAACTTCATAGATAATTTCTTTATGCATACACTAAAGCTTTTAAAGGGATTTTTTTCCCAGGTTAATATGGATTTGTTGTTATGGGCTACATTTTACTTATTTTCCAGCTGCAAAAATACTGTAGGCATTTATATTCACTTACAGGGGTTTGGAGCCAAACAAGGTTAGTTGAAGACTGGGGATATTTGGAATCTGTTTAGGAGTCTGTATTTGCTTTAAAAGGCTTCAGAAAGAAAGTCTTTTTGCTTAGCAGTTTGTATTTTGAGGATATTAGGACTTGATCTCCCTTCTTGTTTCTCCTTAAAAAATATTCGTGGAAGAGCTAATATCTAAAAAATATTTGTGGAAAAGCTAAGGTAAAAGAAGAATAGATCTCTGGGTTAGAATTTAGTAGGCTCTTTTGGCAGTAAGTAGAGCTTAAAATTTTATTTATTTTTAGAGAGAGAGGAAGGGAGGGAGAGAAACATCAATGTGTGGTTGCCTCTCACATGCCCCTAATTGGGGACCTGGCCCACAACCCAGGCATGTGCCCTGACTGGGAATCAAACCGGTGACTTTTTGGTTTTGGAGGCTGGTACTCAATCTACTGAGCCACATCAGCAGAATTTTTTTTTTTAAAGAAACTTTTGGAAAGAATCCTGTAGGGAAAGAATCCTGCACAACAATTCTAAGTAAATGTTTTAGAATGAGAGATAGGAAGGAGCATCTAAGTAGTAATTTTGTGGGAACCATGTAAAAACCTTTATTTAGACCAGCTTGTTTGCATAGTATTAATAAAGTGCATTTTATTATTGTACTTAATTTAGAATTTCAAATTTGTATGTATTGGATAATTTGTAGATAGGTAGTTTAGTTTGCAGGCAGATTAATTTTTGTGATCCTTTGTGTTTATATTTCCAGTACTTTTGTGATAAGGATATATGTAATGTCTTTGATAACTTTGTAACTCTGTTTCCAAGCATTATTTTTCTTTATTAAAAACCTAAACATTAAGCCCTGGCTGGTGTGGCTCAGTGGTTTGAGCACGGGCCTGTGAACCAGAGGATCGTGGTTCGATTCCCAGTCAGGGCACATGCCTGGGTTGCAGGCAGGTTCCCTGCAGGCCAGTTCCCTGTAGGGGATGCATGCACTAGAGGCAACCATACATTGATATTTCTCTCCCTCTCTCCTTCCCTTCCCCTCTAAAGATAAATAAATAACTCTTTAAAAACAAACGAAAAAACCTAAACATTAGTTCTAATCACCAAAGAAGTTTATTTAAAGCTTACACAGTTGTTTAAGCCAGATGTCTAGGACTATCTTATATTCTTCCCTTTTTATCTCTTGTTAATTCCAGTCTATCAGAAGGTCTACTTTCTACTTCCAAAATTTATCTGCCCACTCTTCCATCTCTGCTGCTACTGACCCAGTTTAAGTCACCATCATCTCTTTCCTGGACTACTGAAATAGCTTATTAACTAATCTTGCTTCCACTCTGATACTGCTAGACTCTGTTTTCCACACAGAAGTATAACTTTTTAAAAATATAATTCAGATTATGCTAGTCTCCTGCTTCTTTTTGTGCCTGCACAATCCAAACTCCTTTTCATGGCAGTCGGGCCTAGCCTAGCCTTCCAATTTTATATCATACTGTTCTCAGCAGCCGCAATGGCCTTCTGTTTTTGTTTTTTGTTTTTAAACGAAGCACTTCTCTATCTCCAGATATTTGTACTTTCTGTAACCTATGTATACTTGTCAGCTCTCTTTGGTGGACTTTTTATCATTCAGGTCACCTTAAATATTGAAGGAGGTTTTTCTGAGGAAGTATAAGGGCAATAGTTATTGAATTTTTGTAAACTGAGGATTTCGGCCATCTGTATCTCAGATTTACTAGATCTAATTCTTTGGAGATGGTGTATTTTTAATAAGTATCTCAGGTAGTTCTGAGGGTAGTAGGCAGTGATTGCGTCTTGAACATTTATAGGGCTTGTAAAACCAAATTTCTGGTGCCTGTCAGGAGCTTTTGCCCTTTAGTGAGCAGGCACAGGACGGTTCTTTATAATATTTTATAAAAGCATTGGGATGACCTGTAACAGATCTCTGGGAGTCAGAAAACTGGGTCTTGTTCTTGTTTTTATTTTATTCCCCATTGGATTTATTTAATTCTTAACAACCATATTGTGAAGTAATAAGAATAGGGGTAGTACTTCGACCATATAACAAGCTCTGTCCTGTGTCATTCACCTACTTGAAATACTTCATTGGCTTTCTATACCAGTAAGTATAACATCCATATTGTTTTGGTGTGACATCCATGGTTCTATGTCTTTTGTTCCTTGCCTGCTTCTCCAGCCTTCTATCTCAGTCTTATTTATATTAACTGCCTGTCCCCATAAACGTCTGAATTTAGATCTTGCTTCAGGAGACAGTGGTTCCTTGAGTTGACAAGCCTTGACTATAACCCAACTACATTGTAACCATCTAGGTGTTTTATAATATCACACTATTATAAAATATGCTTATTTATATTTTATAATTTATAATATCTAAAAAGCCATTAATCTTTTAAAATAATGAGGTGAAATAACTGAAAATATCTACAGGAATTTGTATTCTAGAAGCTATGGACATATAGGAAAAACTACAAAGGTAAATGTTAGTAGTGTGTGTTAAAACATGTTTGAGAATTCTTTTTTTTTTAATGTATTTTATTGATTATGCCATTACAGTTCTGTTTCTCCCCTTCATTCCCCTCCACCCTGCACACCCCTCCCCCACCATTCCCCCCTTTAGTTTATGACCACGTGTCTCAAGTTCTTTAGATTCTATATTTCCCATATTATTCTTGCCCTCCCCCTATCTATTTTCTACCTACCATCTATGCTACTTATTTTCTGTACCTTCTCCCCCCTTCTCCTTCTCCTACTTCCCTGTTGTTGATCCTTTATGTGATCTTCATTTCTATGGTTCTGTTCCTGATCTAGCTGTCCTCTTAGTTTGCTTTTGTTTTAGGTGTGGTTGGTAATAACTGAGTTTGCTGTCCTTTCACTGTTCATCTTTTTTATCTTCTTTTTCTTAGGTAAGTCCCTTTAACATTTAATATAATAGGGGCTTGGTGATGATGAACTCCTTGAACTTGATCTTATCTGAGAAGTGCTTTATCTGCCCTTCCATTCTAAATGAAAGCTTTTCTGGATAGAGCAATCTTGGATGTAGGCCCTTGCCTTTCATGACTTGGAATACTTCTTTCCAGCCCCTTCTTGCCTGTAAGGTGTCTTTTGAGAAATCAGCTGACAGTCTGATGGGAACTCCTTTGTAGGTGACTGTCCCCTTATCTCTTGCTGCTTCTAGAATTCTCTCCTTCATTTTAATCTTGGCTAATGTAATGATGATGTGCCTTGGTGTGTTCCTTCTTGGGTCCAACTTCTTTGGGACTCTCTGAGCTTCCTGGATTTCCTGGAAGTCTAGTTCCTTTGCCAGAATGGGGAAGTTCTCTTTTATTATTTGTTCAAATACGTTTTCCACTCATGGCTGTTCCTTTCCCCCTTCTGGTTCCCCTATAATTCGCATGTTGGAGCGTTTAAAGATGTCCTGGAGGTTTCTAAGTCTCTCCTCATTTTTTTAAATTCTTGTTTCTTCATTCTTTTCTGTTTGGTCATTTTTATCCTCTTTCTGGTCCACTCCTTTGATTTGAGTCCCAGTTTCCTTTCCATTACTATTGGTTTCCTGTGCATTTCCATTCATTTCAATTAGTTTAGTCTTCATATATTCCTCTAATTTGTGACTAAAATCAACCAGTTCTGTGAGCATCCTGATCAGCAGTGTTTTGAACTGTACATCTGAAAGTTTTGCTATTTCTTCGTCACTTAGATTTATGGGCTCTGGGGCTTTGAGATCTTGTTGAGCCGTTTTTGGTCTGTTCGCGCCCATTAAGTGTGAGGAGCTGAGCCTTAGGGGCGGGGCGGGGACTCCAGGGTGGGGTCGCTGGGTTGTGATGCTGTATGTGGTGGCGGGATCAGAGTGGGGAAATGGCGTCCCCTCTCCTGTTTCCCACCGCTGGGTGAGGAGTGAAGCCTTAAGTGTTCACCAAGGCAGGGTCACTCAGGTCGCTGAGTTGTGACGCTGTATGTGGGGGTGGGGTTGGAGCGGGGAAATGGCGGTCGTCTCTGCTGCCTCCTGTTGCTGGGACCCGCTTGGTTTCCTCTCACTGCCCACTCCCTCACCAGCCTATCTGCAGGAATACGCCAGCACAGTCAACCCGCCGCCCTCACCGGATCCTCTGGTCGCTCACTGGGTCCACCCTTTGCAACCCCACACCTGGGA